ACCTCTGGGACCCTCTCACTTCACAGACTTGTAGAACCTGGTCTCCAGCCAGAGCCTGAATATCTACACCGCAGTTAAACAGCACTTTAGTCTGAGCCCCACAAACCTGAGTCAGCTGTCACGGGCCAGCCACTAATTTCTAAATGCAGTGTAGACATACCAATAGGACCAGGAATTGGCCCTGGGTGTCTGACATTGTCTATGTGACAGAAGATATGAGAAAAAGAAACAAAACCTTATGTAAGTTGAGTCGTACGGTAATGTTGCTAAAAAAACACAATAATTTTTATCTGGATGGTACAGATCAGGATGTTACAAGAATGCTAAGAGACAGTTTGCTTGCTAATCATCTTAAAGAGGATTAAGTGAGTTTTCTCTTAGAACATCACATGCCAGTGTTTTCAGTCTTGATGTTACCTAACTAGATAATGTATGAAACTTGATCCAGTGTTCTGCAGGGCACTGCCTTAGAAAAGGTACAGCTAACTTTAAAAAGGTGCCTTCACAAAAATTACAATTCTTGTTTCAAGAGCTGAACCTGGAACATGTGATGGCTAAAATTAATTCAGTAATTTAACGTTCTTTTTCATTTCAGTATCTAAAGGATATATTTTGTATACAGACGTGCACTACATTTTTGAAGTTTTAAAATTTCTCAGTGACTACAGGTGGTGAAAGAAATAAAACCTCTTTTATGGTACTATCATTTTTTCAATAACACCTCATTGGTTTATACTGTATCTTTTATATTTAAGCTATACAATGGCTATATATTAGTTCTTCACTTATGAGAAATATTACACTACTGTACATTGGAGAGTAACAGACATACAAGGGGAGGAAATATTTTTGAACTGAAAATATTTCTGTTTTATTGGGCCATATTCTGATCTCAGTTACTCTGATGTAAATCCAGAATACCTCCACTGAAGTCAAATTTACACAGATGCAACTGTGAAAAGAATTTAGCCCGTAGCCATCGTTAAGCAGAAATAAAATAGAGATCTAGGTCTGTCAAGATATACAACGGAATGTGGAGTTATTAATTTTCTCTTGACCTGGTTTTTGCTTAGTAATGACTTTGTTAATGAAGTAGAGTTGCATTTCAAATGCTTGTAGCAAATAAATACTTATATTTCTGGTGATCAACCAAAAGTAAATAACATCTGTTTACATTTTCTTTGGAAATTTAAACAAAAAATATAAGTGAAAAAGGAATTAAAAATCCTATCACGGTACTCTATTTTAAAAAAATGAAAAAATTATTAAAAGTCCTTTTCGTTTATTTTCAAAGTATTTTCCTAGAGGTTAAAAAGTATGCTTGTAAGTGATTTAAAATTTGTAGATAACTAAGGATATGCGTGGGGGTTTATTTCCTGTAGATGAAGACATAACACTGTATTAAAATTAACACACAGAATGTTTTACTGTAATTCCCCCAGGCAAAAGGGTGTGAAAAAGGTGGAAACTTCAGTTTGTTTGAGAGACAAAAAACTAAAATAAATCTAAGTCAAGATGTTATTAGATGCTCAAGTTCATATCAATAAATGTCTTGCATCAGCTATCATTGATCTCACTTGCTTATGTCTTTTTGTTTCTTCATGGTAACTGGCTCTCTCTTGAAGTCAATGAGAGCCCATGAACATAAGTCGGAGTTAGTTGGGACCCCAACTGCACTCAAGTATTTCAGGGCTACTGCACTTGAGTTGGAAAAGTGCTGAAGTATTGTGAGAGAGCCTGTTTTGTGAAGTGACGAATTTTTGGGAACTTTGTGTCAGCATCTCAGGGGCTTCTCTGAGTTGAATTTGAACTTCAACATGTTTGAGCTACTGCCATTCCTTATCAGGTTAAATGTACAGGGCACTGAAAGGGACAAATCAGGTTTAAGGTTTACAATCAATAGTTCAGGATTTTACAACCGGGAAATAGAAGGTGCATTAAGAGTTTGTCTTCACTGCATTGTTAGCTCTGGTTATGTGCACGAGAGTGAACTCTCTTGGGTCAGCCTCGCTCAAGTGAGAGCAGTCACACTGCAGAACACTCACGCTGCACAGTGTTTGTATTAGCAACACAGAGTGATGAGTTCCCACTGCATTACTAGTCAGCAGCTCTCATGTTTCAACCAATATCTTAGGCCAGTTAGCTTAAATGTAAAGCACCATTTACAGGAGCTAGACACTTTTGGGTGCGCATTGAAGTTGCGTTAGCGACAACACTCAAGCTATCCCTTGAGCTAACACAGCAGTGAAGTAATAAGATTTAAGCTTGTCCTGCTGAAGAATTGGGTATATTTTGTCTACAGTGTCCATTGTTTATGTCTGATCATGTTTAATTATCCTTGTGAAATTAATCCTACTTAAATCGGAGTAAATTTTCTCCTAAAGGGACAGTGTTCACCACTAAGTATATTCCACTCATTTCATAACAGTTCACTTTCAGGTGGGTGCTGAAACCAACATTACACTAATTGGTGGGTAGTCTCAGAAATGGTGCTTCTAGATCAGTGTTAATGCACACATGTGGGGTGGTATGGTATGTAATTGAGGGAAGCTTGACTGTCCTGTGGATAAACAGAGGGCTTCAGTCTCCAGGTCTTCAGGTCTAGCACCTTTCATAACCGCTATACTCACATGAAGAAAATTAAAAAGAAATTAAGAGGCGACACCGTCAAAGAGGGCTGAGCCAAGATGGGACCTGCCTTTTTTCTCCCTGAGGTTTGTGTGTAAAGTTCATGTGCCCTAATGATTTTCTGTAAGAGGGGAAGGGAGCAGAATCAGAACAAAAGCTGCAGTGTTTCTTCTTCTGTGAATATGAAATAAAACACATCCGCACTCCTGAGCAATACTAAAAACAATTGAATTCATGGGTTGGGGGAAATAAAACCATTTTTGAGCCTGGAATTCCCCGTGAATGAAGCAAGGAGAAATTCACAGGAAAAGATAGACTGAAGAAAATGACATTTTCCAGCGGGGACTCTGTATGGAGGTGGACACTCGGTACAGTCCATTAGCGGTAAAGAGCTATTGATACTGGTGATATGACCATCTTGCTCTTAACACAGTTAATTTTTTCTCCATTCCACAGGAGTCATATTTATTGGTAAAAATATTTGCTGGTCTGATAAAACTAGTAATCGTATTTCCTACTTCATGCATGAGCACACTCTCTCTCTTTCTCTCACCCTGACCTGAAAGCAGTCCTTACACATAGACTCCAGTGGGCTAGTCGGATTGGCCCTTCTGTCATTTATAGATCATTCTCTGTAGGGTCTACATTGTGTAGTGACCAATCAGGATTGGTGCCTGGCCTGCCTGTAAATTACTCTTTTTCACAGGAGCACCAGTTTCATAGGAATAGAATTTTTTAAAAGGTGGGAAGTATATTTAGAATAACGAAGTGATGAGCAACTGAAAATGAATGGCTCTAATAAAAAGAAAAGGAGTACCTGTGGCACCTTAGAGACTAACAAATTTATTTGAGCATAAGCTTTCGTGAGCTACAGCTGAGCTGCAGCTCACGAAAGCTTATGCTCAAATAAATTTGTTAGTCTCTAAGGTGCCACAGGTACTCCTTTTCTTTTTGCAAATACAGACTAACACGGCTGTTACTCTGAAACCTGGCTTTAATAAAGACTATTAGGCAACCTTAGCGTGGAGTAAATTATCATTTGGTTTGCATTGTTCATTTTACACTTGAGACATGCTAGTGTGCCTTACAAAATGGGGGTCAAATTGCAGACACAGTGTCTAGCCTTCTCCAGGGTTCGTTGACCGACCTCTGGCAGATACCTGGGGAGTGGAGGAGCCTGTCCCTTCTTTTACGCCTTGGAAACATTTGTACAGCATGTCATACCCATACAATCTCATAGATTTAAACTGAGTTAGATACTGATTGTGCTGTGACTGTGAAAGGAAACTCTACTATGTACTTAGCTGTTGCTCAGAAACTGAGCCTTGGGCTTGAGAGCCAGTTTAAATGAGTGAGAAAGATATTGGCTATTTTCGGAGATTTTTACCTTCTGCCTATCTTTCTAGCCTGTGAGCTCCTTGAGCCAGGCGCCATGTCTTCCTCCGTACTCTGCTGCCATTCAGCAAATAATCTAGTAGACCAGCCACCAGCAACAGAGGGACTTGGGTTCTACATTTCTTCTGAAGGACTGCTCCCCCACAGAGCCTCCCTTAAGTCCTGTGCTGCCCCTTGGTACTGCCCATCCCCTGCAGTGTGTTGCACAGGCATGTTGCTTTAGAAACATATCTAATAAAAATAAATTAAAAATAACTCTCAGATGTCCCTTAGTGCAAAGCCCACTGCTCCTCTCAGGTTTCCCTGAGGCAAATGGTAACATAAAATATGATATCACAAGCTAAGAAATAATCAAAATATTGTATTGGGGACAGTTCCACATGCTCCCCCAGCCATGCCCCTCTTAGTGTGATGGAGTAATGACATTGACACATACCCTTACCTCTCTCCTTCCTCTCCTCTCTCAATGCACAAGTCATCCTGTAACCTATTCACTCCTTCTTTCTCTCCATGCAAGAAACCAGTTGTATAGCTTTCATTTAAAATAATAACTTGAGTTTTGTTGCATAAAACACCGTGTTAGCACAGGAGTCAAACCAGGGTTCCTTCTATTGATCTGATGAACTTAGCACTGTGTGGTTTTCCTCTCTCATCCTCCCTAGCTTGAGTCACCAGTTTGGTCACCTCCACCACTATGTATCACTTAAATTCCGTCGCATCTGGTGAGAAGATGTGAGTGTACATAGTGTGTTAAGCCATTTGCAGCAGGATGAGCAGAGTCTACTGGACATTCATTGTGAAGTCTAGCTAGACTCCATCTTCCTGGAAATAAACATTTGCACATTCTCTACTGCAGAAGGTGGGGGGGGGGGGAGACTTGAATGCAAATGTTTGCTCCGAATCACATTGTGGGTCGATCAGTACTGAACTTTTTTGTTTTATTCTGAAGAGAGAAAAGCTATTCTTCTTGTCTGTAGGAGAGGTCTCACCACAGTCAGAGCTGGAGAATTCTGTCCGGGCCTCGCTTGAACGTGCAGACAAGGAGATAAGGATAGCCCTGAAGAAACTCGTGGATTCCACATCAGTGCATGTGACTCTTCCTCCAAGTATGAGAGGAAAGGCTGGTGGCTTTGGCGTTCTTGAGTCCACAGCTTCAGATACAGAAAATAGACATCCTGTGATAGTTCATGAAGTCAGCACGCAAACCCAAAGTGCTGGAGGTCATGGTAGGTTTGGGTTGAGTTTGGGAAATGTCACGTGGATGTTAGACACAAATGTTGCCAAGACCAAAAAATGAAGCTCTTCTCAATTCTATATTTCTTTGTGTTCTAAACAGAGATGGGTCCAAGACACACAATTCAGACACCACAAATTGTGGGGGTATCATGATGTAAATAATACCAGGGCTCCTGATGTAAATGGGGGGCACTGGCAAATTTGGATCTGAAGCTGAGTTTGGACTTTGAATGTCTCCAGAGTTCATGGATGGGGGATGGTTCCATGTCTGGGATTTTAGCGTGGGGTCATCTTGAATTTTAGACCCTGAATATGTTGTTTGTTTATGTTTACTGCATGTCATAAACAACATGGTGATTCAGGCCTTTCTACTTGACATTCCTTGGCTAAGTGCTGCAGACTTTTTAGGCTATAAGGGTATTAAGGATTCATTTGCATTCGATTAACATTGTAGCCTTAATAGAATTTGGGACATTTTTTTTCAGGAGTAAAAATAATGCTCTGTGTAACTAGAGTCAATTTATGTCTTGCAAAGAGAACAAAAGCTTTCATATTTGTGTTACTGTATGTTATTTTTAAAAAATGGGAAATACATTTCACTTCTTAAATCTTGTAAAGAGCCTGGTAAATACTACAGCCCTTTCATTCTTCATCTTTACTAGCTGCCATAATAACTAGAGAACCGTTTTGTCTAGCCCATTGTCATTTTGTGTCAAGTCAAATAATTGTTCTTAATCCAGTATGGTCTTAAAGGGACACTGTCTAGTACCTTTCGGCCCCCAAATCTAGATTTTGTTAAAAAAATATTTTGTTACACAACATAATGAGCATGCAAACATTTCATGGATTCAAACAAAATAAATTACATGAAAAAGTTTGGGTGCTATTTATTCAAAGTCTTTCCGCTGCAGTGTTGGAAACCCAAAACAGTAGCATTCTGCCAGTGTAGGAGAACCAGAAAATGACTGTAAGCAGAAAGTGAAACAGAATAGTTTAGTTCCTTGACAGTAGCTCAGGGAAGTGGAAAAAAGGAAACCAGCGGCATACAAAGGTGAAAAAGTAAATTTAAGTATTTTTAAAGTTCTTTCATTTTCAATGACTTAAGACGTTATTAACATGGGTATGTGTTTTTTAAAAACAGAGGCTTATTATGTTGACATGTGTCCCTTTGATCACCTGCTTTTGAATAAGAACAAGAAGGCAAATATTTCAATAGCACTGTCAGTAAGAAATCATTGAATGAAGATCTTACTCATCGGTGAACTGTGGTCTTTTGTTGGATGCCATTATATAACAGTGCTCTCTAGTAAAGCTGCCCAGTTAGCTTACTAGGAAGAGTCACTTCTCTTTCCAATACAAGCCATCGCTAATGATCTCCCAACCATCCTACCAAAGAATGACAATGCTTCTCTTCCTCTGCACTTTGCATGCTTACATTGCACAGGAAATGGCATTCTTCACCCTTATAGGTAACCCTGATGGTACGTATCACAAGGTGATTAGTTCTTGCTGGAATAGAACATCAAGCCCATTCTGGAGGAAACAGCTTGGTTAAAGAACCCACCCATCTTTTCATTTCGTAATATTTCTGGAAAAGAGATTCTGGACCTGATTCTGGTCCCACTCATAGCTGTGTAAGTGAGGAGAACGTCCATTGAAGTCAAGGGAGTTATAACAGTGTAAAAGGTGTGATGGCACAACTAGGCCGTCTTTACAGTAGTAGCACGTATTAGGGCCTGATTTTTATCTCCCATGCACTGGTTTTACATTAGTATAACCCTATTGACTTCACTGGAGCTACTTCTGATTTATACCAGTGTGAGTTGACAATCAGTCCAGTAATTGTTGGTGTACCCTAATAATGGAAGCACTGAAATTTATCAACAGAGCCAAAATTTGTCATTTTCATTCAATCTGCAAGCTGGAGGACACTCAGCCAACTATTTTCCTTGAATGTATGTAATTGATCAACTTGTTTGCTTCACACATGCTGGGGTTTTTTTCATTTCTATTTAAATTTTCTTTGTACTTTTCCTATTCATGCCTGGGTGTTTCCTCACAACAAAAATCCTGATGCTTTTGCCCAGTCAGCCATATTCTAACATCGATGATTTTTATTTCACTGAGAACACTTCGTTTCACATAATCCTCTGAAAAGGGCCAAATTCTCCTCTTAGTTACGGTGATTGAACCCCACTGAAGTCTGATGGGATGTTCTGCTGGAACTCAGAGCAGAAATTGATCTCAGCCCTTGTTTTCAGCCATGTTGTCCAATGTAACTAGTCTAACAGGTCCTGTTTTCACTCTCAGGTGAAGTGCGAGACAGCACTGGGAAAATTCCGGATGAGAAACTGAGTGAAACAAAGTCAAGCCCAACCACTTCCCAAAAAGAGACGACTGCTGGAGCTGCAGGAGGTCAGGAACGCACTATTCCCATTACCAGGTAAGCATAAACATCATGACGCTCAAAGTGTTGAATGGAATTCTGAATGTGTCTTTGTCCTTGAAAAAGCTGCCCTACAATCCAGTTCTCTTGAATGTTGTAGCTGGTAGCTTGAAGTGACCTGAGTAGATTTAACATGAGAACAGCCATACTGAGTCAGATCAATGGTCCATCTAGCCCAGTATCCTGTCTTCCAACAGTGGCCGGTGTCAGATGCTTCACAGGCAATGAACAGAACAGGGCAATTATTGCGTGATCCACCCCCAGTCATTCAGTCCCAGTTTCTGGCAGTCCCAGGTGGAGGGACACCCAGATCATGGGGGTTGCATCCCTGACCATCTCTGCTAATAGCCATTGATGGACCTATCCTCCTTGAACTTCTCTCATTCTTTTTTGAACCCAGTTATACTTTTGGCCTCCACAACATCCCCTGGCAACAAGTTCCACAGGTTGATTGTGCATCGTGTGAAGTAGTTGTTTGTTTGTTTTAAAACTGCAGCCTATTGATTTCATCAGGTGAACCCTGGTTCATGTGTTATGTGAAGGAGTAAATTACGTGTCCTCATTCACTGTCTCCACATCATTCATGATTTTATAGACCTCTGTCCTATCTCCCCCTCCCCCCACTCTTTTCTAAACTAAACAATCCCAGTCCTTTTAATCTCTCCTCATCTGGAAGTTGTTCCTTACCTGTAATCATTTTTGTTGCCCTTCTCTGTACCGTCTCCAATTCTAATAGATCTTTTTCAAGATGGGGCGACCAGAGCTGCACGCAGTATTCAAGGTGTGGCTGTACTATGGATTTATACAGAGGCGTATTACAATGTTTTCTATTTTATAATCTATCCCTTTTCTAATAGTTGCCAAGATTCTGTTAGCTTGTTGACTTCATGCCCTCTTTTTTGAGGGGTTACAGCTAATTCAGAACTCGTTATTTTGTATGTATAGTTGGGATGATGTTTTCCAATGTGCATTACTTTTCACTTACAAACATTGAATTTCACCAGCCATTTTGTTGCCCAGGGACCCAGTTTAGTGAGCTCCCTTTGTAACTCTTCACAATCAGCTTTGGACTTAACTATCTTGAGTAATTTTGTATCATCTGCAAATTTTGCCACCTTGCTGTTCACCCCCTTTTCCATTTATTAATATGTTGAACAGTATGAGTCCCAGTACAGACCCCTGGGGGACACCACTATTTGCCTCTCTCAATTCTGAAAACTGACCATCTATTCCTACCCTTTGTTTGCTGTCTTCTAACCAGTTACTGATCCATGAGAGGACCTTCCCTCTTATACCATGACTGTTTACTTTGCTTATGAGCCTTTGGTGAGGGACCTTGTCAAAGGGTTTCTGAAAGTCCATGTACACGATGTCAACTGGATGACCCTTGTCCATGTTTGTTGATTCCCTGAAAGAATTGTAATAGATTGGTGAGGCATGATTTCCTTTTACAAAAGCCATGTTGACTCTTCTCCAACATACAGTATTCATATATGTGTAATAATTTTGTTCTTTACTATAATTTCAACCAATTTGCCTAGTACTGAAGTTAGGTTTACCGGCATGCTAGGATCACCTCTGGAGTCTTTTTTTTAAAATAAGAATTACATTAGCTATCCTGTAGTCCTCCGGTACAGAGTCTGGTTTAAGCATAGGTTACAAAACACAGTTAGTAGCTCTACAATTTCATATCTGAATTCCTTCAGAACTCTTGGGTGAATACCATCTGGTCCTTGTGATTTATTACTGTTTAATATATCAATTTGTTCCAAAACCTCCTCTATTGATACCTCCGTGTGGGACAGTTCCTCAGGTTTATTACCTAAAAAGAATGTCTCAGATGTGGGAATCTTCCTCATATCCTCTGCAGTGAAGACTCACGCAAAAAATTCATTTAGCTTCTCTGCAACAGCCTTATCTTCCTCGAGTGCTTTTTTAGCACCTCAGTTATCCAGTGGCCCCAGTGATTGTTTGGCAGGCTTCCTGCTTCTGATGTACTTAAAAAAATTGCTGTTCGTTTGTGTGTCTTTTGCTAGTTGTTCTTCAAATTCTTTTTTTGGCCTGCCTAATTATGTGTTTATACTTGCAAGAGTTTATGTGCCTTTCTATTTTTCTCAGTCGGATTTGACTTCCAGTTATTAAAGGATGTCTTTTTGCCTCTAACCACCTCTTTTACTCTCTTGGTTAGACCCAGTGTCATTTTTTTTGATCCTCTGACTTTTTTTTTTTTTCCATTTTGGGTATACATATAGTTTGAGCCTCTATCGTAGTGTTTTAAAACAGTTTACATGCATCTTTCAGGCATTTCCCTCGTGACTGTTCCTTTTAGTTTCTATTTTACTAGCTTCCTCATTTTTGTGTAGTTCCCCTTTTTGAAGTTAAATACGGCTGTGTTGGGTTTCTTTGGTATTTTTTTCCCTGCAAGGATGTTAAATTTAATTACATTATGGTTGATATTACTGAGCGATTCAGGTATATTCACCTCTTGTATCAGATCCTGTGCACCACTTAAGACTGAATCAAGAATTGCCTCTCCCCTGTGGGTTCCAGGTCTAGCTGCTCCACGAAGCAATCATTTTAATGGTGTCTAAAATTTTTATCTCTGCATCCTTCCTGAGGTGACATGTATAGACGATATGGGGGTAACTCAAATCTCCCATTATTACTGGGTTTTCTGTTTTTGTAGCTTCCTTAATCTTCCTGAGCATTTCACAATCACTGTCATCATCCTGGTCAGGTGGTCAGTAGTATATGCGTATGGACATGCTGTAATTATTCAAGCATGGAATTTGTATCCATAGAGGTTCTGTGGTACAGTTTAATTCATTTAAGATTTTTCCTATATTTGACTCTGTTTTCTTTTATGTATAGGGCCACTTCCCCACCAGTGTGACCAATCCTACCATTCCTATATATTTTGCACCCTGGATTTATTGTGTTCCATTGATTATCTTAGTTTCACCAAACTTATGTGATACCTGTTATACCAATATCTTCATTTAATATGAGGCATTCAAGTTCATCCATCTTCGTATTTAAACATCTAGCATTTGTAAACAAGCACTTATAAAATTTGTCAATATTTAGTTATCTGCCTTCGTGCAATGTAATTGAATGGGACTCTTTTTGTTTGACTTTCTCTTCAGTTCCTACCTGTACTTTCTTAACATCTATCCTCTCCTCTTTAGTAGGCTATAGAGCAGGGGTCGTCAAACTTTGGCATGCAGCCCATCAGGGTAATCCGCTGGCGGGCTGTGAGACATTTTGTTTTTGCTGACCGTGGGCAGGCACGGCCCCCTGCAGCTCCCAGTGGCCGTGGTTTGCCGTTCCTGGCCAATGGGAGCTGCAGGAAACAGCCTAAATTTGGCCTCCAAGTCCTCTCCTCCTATCTTTCCCTTTGTCATTGGTACCTACATGTACCACGACCACTGGCTCTGCCCCAGCACTGCACATAAGTCCATCCAGATGTCTTGAGAGGTCCTCAGTCTTCACACCAAACAGGCAATTTACCATGCGGTTCTCCTGGTCATCACAAACCCAACTAGATAGTATAGAAATTTCTAATAATCGAATCCCCCATTACTGTTACTGGGGTTTAGCATTATCTTTAAAGTGTCATGCATGTTTGTCATATGTCAACAAGACAGAGGACAGTTGAGAGGTACACTACATGGAGAGTAATTAAGTCCCCAAATCAAAACTATCCTGTAATCGGTTTTAAGTAAATATTGAACTTACTGGTAGTTAAACACCCAGAACAATGGCAGGATATAATCCTAAACGGCTGTATTATCCCTTCTGTTTCGTGTGTGAAATTCATTGCTTGTTTTTGGAGACATGAATGCACATTGCAGGAGTACAGAGCAGCTAGAGTTTCCAAACACATTTATGTTGTAGCTGGTTGTTTGTGCCAAGGACACAACAAAGCAGGGTTTTTCTCTGCCATAATTTATATCCTAAAATGTCCATGATCAGTGAATAATAGTAGCACCACTTGGCTATAATTACTATTATTCTATACTCCAGCTGGTGGGGATGTCTTTTAAGATTTCATTATGAGCAGTGAGTTAGTGAGTGGGAGGCATCTGAGGATGCTGTGGCCTGGTCTGTTTAAGTTGCTTTGTAGATCGTACTTATTATTGTCTGAGGTGAAGGATGTCTGAGTAATGACTGTGCCTCTTGGTTTATGTGAAAAGAACATCAGCAGTCACAGAAGGAGCAGACTGGTGTAAAAGAGAAGGGGCAGATGTGGTCTGGGATGTCCAGAGTCAAATTTATATTGAGACCACAGAAAGAACCTGCGTTTATAAAACAGAGGAGAAGAGCGCAGCAAGTAAGAAATTGCATCGTTTTACCCTTCTGTCTCAGTTCCCATGGTTGTCTCATTATTTTGCCAATGGTTGCAAATTTATCACAATGTTTGGTGGTTTTCTTAAAGCTCCAGCTCAGGTGAGCTTGAAAATGTGAAGCCCAAAGGGTCAAAAGCCAACAAAAAGAAGTGCAGATGTATTATCTTTAAAATCTCATGGTTTTTAAGCCACTCACATGACTTTTGGGGCATCTTGGGTTGGTAATCTTTGAGCATCTCACAAAATGTAACCAAAACTCCCATTCGTTGAGCCCCAGCTTGATTCTAACAAAACTGAACTCTCTTTTAAGCAATGTAAACCTTTTTGTCTCCCCAGGGCCTCCATATATGCAAGTGACCATTGAGGATGTGCAGGTTCAGTCTGGGGAGCTTGCCAAATTTCATGCGGTTATTGAAGGAAATCCCCAGCCTACTATTGCATGGTATAAGGTAGGTAGAAGATGTTTCCCATAGTGGATGAGTGCAACAGAAAAGAATGGGGTGTGGCGAAATTAACAAATAACGGAGAAATTAGAAAACAGTTGGCCATAGGGGACTTTTTTCTCAGCCATAATAGGCTCAAATAGCCTCCTGTATTTATTGTTGGGACGAGAATGGCTGGTCTTATTTGCCGGCAAAGAAGTGATGAACCTCCAAGGTTAAAACTTCTGATTGTTAAGTCAATTAAAGAATAATGCAAATATAGGAATGTAGGAATTGCCAGACTGGGTCAGACCAAGGGAGTAAAGGAAGCTAGTGTCAGAATAAGAAATAGAACCTAGGAGTCTCGATTCCTAACCCTCTACTCTAACCACTAAACCCCTGCTTATTCAGACTTCTTTGGTCTTGAAATTGAGTTGGAAATCTCACACAAAAAGCTTGTATTATGAGACTTCCATTACTACTTGGTCATGAATGGAAAATACCTAGAGCTCCACTTTTTTGTGGTATTTCTGCTTTTGGTCTTGGCTAAAACTGAGAAGTTGGGAATTTAAAAAAAAAGGGCTTCAGATTTAGATTTTTAGGCAAAGGTTTGAGTTCATTCTTATTTTATCTGCACTGGGTTTACTCTGTCCAAGTTGCTATTGAAAACAGAACATCAGTACCAGGGCATAGAAAATTTTCTCTGAAATATAAGCAACTTCTATATTCTAAGTGCACAGTAGATCTCCATTTTAGCTACTGTTGTTCTACCTAAATCAGGGATACTCAGACTAAGGCTTGCGAGTCCCAAATGGCTCTGTAATGCGTTTCCTGCGGCTCTTTGCAGCACATGATATTAAAACGCTGTGTGATTTAATTATAACCAGTCTAAGTTATTGACCAATAAGGATGCTTTTACTATGTTATTAACCAATTAATTTATCAACTTGCACTAAATTATTAACTTATTTGCTGTGAGAATAATATCGAGAGAGAGAGAGAGAGTGTAAATGAAACAATGAATTCACACTAGTATGGCTGTTTTGGGTAATGTTGATCGCTAATTTGGCTCCTGAACCACTGAGGTCTGAATATCACTGATCTAAATCCTTGCAGTGTACCAGGACCTATTTCACCCTGGCACTTTAATACTGAAGTAGTGTCTCATTCTTCCAGGATAATTCCTTGTTGACTGACAGCAACAGGATCCATCAAGTGAAAGAAGGCACAACATACTCTTTGATCCTGGAAGATGTTGCCTCAGAAGATGGTGGCGTCTATACCTGCATTGCCAAAAATGCAGGAGGGGAGGTCTTGTGCAAAGCAGAGCTTGTTGTACATGAGGGTAACTTCATTTCTTAGGTTTGCTATATTGGCTCCCCATGACCATTAGCCACATCCAGAATTGTGGTGCACTGATTCGTGTCTAACGCTTAGGCTTCTGGAGGCATATTCCAGGGTTATTAGCACCTTGCTAGCTGGAGCCTCTCTAGGGCTTGGTTGGTGGTATATTGTCTAGATATGCTATCTACACCGGCTGAGAATCTGGGCCCCTGTGTATGGTGCCAAAAACCTTCAATAGCCCTCTGTGCCTTATTCTAAACAGAAGCTTAGAAAATGGATCATATTATTTCCCGCAGAACATTGTCAGCATGATAGTTTTGCATGTTGTGCCATGGCCGTGTTGTCTGAACACTATTACAAACTTTTTCTTTGGTTACCAAAGCTAAGAAAGACCAAGTGACAAAGAAACAGAGCACCCGAAGGAAACTCCATTCCTTCTATGAGGTGAAGCAGGAGATAGGAAGGTAAGTGTGATTTTTCACTTTTAAAATGTCCTTTCAGGGGAATGTATAAGTGCCTGTCTGATCTCTTTTAATATGAAGAGAACTACTGATCGAGAGTTGGCATGCTCCCCAAACTCTAAGGAAGGGAGCTTCTATCCCAGCTCTCTGGCCAGAGCATGGAACCAGGACTACTGCACTCCTGAAGAAGTTGTATCCCTCACTTGACCAGGAGGAGGGTCTCCAAGACATGGACATTTGAGGGCATATGCAATAAAAAGGGAGGACACATTGCATTGCAGTGGAACTGTACCAGATTAGGAGCAGCCTGGGTATCTCACTCCCCATGGAGTCCCAGTGGAAAGGGGAGCAGGGACAGTTTTTCTTCAAGGGAAGAGGGGGCAATGTGGTAGCCAGTTCATGAAGCAGTATTAATCCCAGTCTTGTGACAGGGAAGGTGTTTCCCTTCCACTCACAGGAAAATTCATATAATGCAGCTAATGGGAGAAACAAAGCAGAATACACAATGGTGTGAGAGCTATGAAACCCGAGTCTGGGGTGACCACCTAACTTCTGAGAGGAGGCATGAGTGAATGGTGCAGGCCTTCCCAAACACGTGCGGACCCATTCTGCGCATCACCCTAGGCTATCACTATGTTGTTGTTCACATCTTCTTTTATTCATTCCTATTTTTAGTTAAGCATCCAGGCTGCATTCAGGTTTGGCACAAGTGGGCAGAGCTCTCATTGACTTTCTTTGTTGCTGAGCCCACTTATCCCAGGACTTAATTTGATCCACCTTTTCTTTATGTCCACTTTGCACTATAGTAGTTAGTATGGTAAAAACCATGGCTGACATCCTAGTCTCAATGAAGTCAATGACAAAACTCCCATTGACTTCAGTGGAGTCAGGAGTTCACTCCATGTCTTTGGTATTGTGGGATCTCAGTGGTTTCCGCAAGTGCAGTATAATTGCACTGGTCTGCATTTTTCCTTCATTTCTGTGCCTGCAACTTGATTGGATTTCACTTAAACACATTGAAGTCAATGGTATTCATACCTAAGTAACCGAGGGCAGAACTGTGCCCAGTTTTGTCAAGTTTTGACATGTCTAAAGCACAGGAGTTGATGGGATGGTCATCCCTGCTCCATGTGTGCAGGGTGTTCCCTGAGATTTTTAATAAAGGATGGAAGGGACGATAAAACTATCTCAGGGTGTACCCCAAAGTTGGGTGAAGTATTACCGTGTAGAGAAAACAGCATTGATAGAGCAAATTCTGCCTTTGGTCACACCCCGTGCAATTCCATGGACTTGCTTTGACGCTTGTGCAACCCTGTTGAGTTCAGTGAGGCTGTACAGGTGTAATGGAGAGGAGAATTTTGCCCCAGATACGTTATTTTGGCATTATCTTGGTGTGACAGACCCATGAATGTGTACATACAGACACCATGTTGTCTGTCCACCAAGAGTGAACCTCGCGCCTTCAGCACACGCCCCTAACACTGGAGCTAAAGGTGTAAGTGTTAACTGGCAGTGAATAGCAGGCTGTTCAGTTTTGGGGGGCCAGTCAACAGAGGGAGACATGATCTCACATACAATAAAGTCAGATCGTTACATTAGACTGAGTTTAAGGTGAATGTGGAGGGAAGGCTTTGAGAGAGGATTGCATGGGGGTAGACAATGAACGCAAGCATTGTGAATCTGACATGCAAGGGGATGCAGGGCAAAACCTCAATGTGGTATATTTTTTGATTATGTACAGGGGCTCTTTCAGCTTTGTGAAACGGGTTGTGCACAAAGGGAACAGAGTATCCTGTGCTGCCAAGTTCATACCTCTGCGAAGCAAAACAAGAACCCAGTCCTATCAAGAGAGGGACATCCTAGCCACTCTCTCCCATGATAAAATCACCCAGCTGCTGGATGAGTTTGAAACAAGGAAAACCTTGGTTTTGATTTTGGAGTTGTATCCTTTTCTTCCCTTCTTTTTCTCAGATAATGCTGGGAAGTGCCAGTTAAGGGAAACCCATGTCAATATAAATATAAGCATTTATATTTTTCACCTGAGATAAAAGTACACATTTGTACAACATAAACATATTAAAGATTGTAAGGTGCTCAGATACAATGGGAATGGGGGCCATATAAGTACCAAGGATGGGTGGATTCACAATAGAAAAAGCTGTTTTAGAAAAATACCTCTCGCACCAATTGATTATATATCGCCAAAGCATTTTACTGAAATATATGAAAGCTGAGGTCCCTGCCCCAATGGGATTATAGTCTAGATGGACAATATGCAAGCACAGAGGAAAGATGGTGAGGAGCAACCAACCAACATGACTAACGGGAGAATTTTAGCACAGAGCAGCTTGTTAATTCCATGGGTTTCATTTAATTTTTAAGGAGCAAAGATTTTCAGCTGTTGAGTTTACCATTTCCCATAGGAGGACTGCCCTAGCTCCTTCTGTATTTGAGGTTTTTTATAACAGACCTTCAGACAATTCCTGGCAAAGAGAGAGGATTTAACATCACCAAGGATATGCTGCCCTCTTTGATCTGTTCTTTTTTTATCAAAGATTGTATTTGTTGCAGAATGCTAGTAAATTATGATACTAAACCAATGGTCTTAGTTTTCCTTAATGTCCTTGCTAGGTGCTCCAATGAGGAGCTCTTGGACCGTTTATTCAGGAAGAGTGTTGTTACTGAAGCAGAGGTACCAATTTCTTGTCATTTTAAAATTTCAAAGTATAGTAGGTGCACTCCAAAATTCATTCTGGTTCTACAGAATATGGCAGCTTTATTTATACTATCCATCTTAAGTATGGGGATTTTCTCAGTCCGTCAAACCAGAATGAATTGTTTAAGTGCCCACCCTGAATCTTTCGTTCCCAATGATAGCTTCTCAATGGAATGAAACGAGAAGCCGATGGTTTTTGATGATACACGTGCTCAGCCAAATTCTATATTTCCGTGTTAGACCCAAGAACATATTGTCTCCATAACTCTGCCACTTTCCCCCACCAGAACTTCTGTCATGTAGCTTCCATGTGTTTTGACTTGTGTAATAATTTCCTTGCGCTCCCCAAGCCAAGAACTGAGATGGTGTCCTCTGAGTTTTTTTCAGTCCATTCTAGCTCAAAATATAAGAGCCCCATAGTCTGTCTTGTTCTGGAACACAAGTCTCCTACATTCCAGGGGCTACTTTTATTTTCCTCAGGTCTTGGAGGAAACATCAGATAAAACTGTGGAGGCAAGGCTAAATTATCTTCTAACTGGGCCTGGATATTAAACCCCCACCCATGGTGAAATTTTACTCGTATTAGGATCTGTCCTTGATCTAAAAAATGGCTTTCTAACACTATTTAAAAATGTGCTTGCCTGGTCTACACAGACCAAACAAACTGTGTTAAACAAGGGCCTGAGACATACTGTTGAAATCTGGATTGGAATTTCCCCCAAAGTTTCGGGGTGTTCATTTCCCCTGTTAAGTGCATCTCTGTTTTTCAAGTTCAGGCTCCCTAACATATGGAAAACTTTGGTGTGGAAGGTATGTCTGTGCAGCCCATGTCAGCAAGCCCCCAACCCTTGATCAAGAAACTCGGAAGCCTAGGAAATGGGGATGGGCTTCAGAGCCCAAGATCCAGCATCAGCTGCAACTACAAAGCGCTGTCTACGCAGCTGTTTTTAGAGAGCTAGTATGAGCTTTGCTAGCCCAAGTCTGTCGACCTGTGCTGGGAGGCTTGTTGCCATGGGCTGTGTAGACATCCCCTTAGCCGCTGTGTCTGAATTCTATGTTCTAATGTTTGGTTCCCCATCTGTTTCACATTAAATAGTCTCACTAAAAAGTTTATTCTCTTTTGTAGAGGTGTTACCATTAGAGCTGGTTGGAAATTTTTTCACTAAATATATCCATTTCTGAGATCTAGAATGGAATTTCACTGGTGGGGATAGGCCCATGTCCAGGTCCCACTCCAGAATAGCCAGGAGACCTGAGGTTAGGACACTGATATGGAACATGGAAGACTGAGGTTCACGTACTCCCTCCAAGTACCCTAATCACTGGGCTATTCGCTATTCTGCGGTGGCTGGAGCTTTCTCATATGGGTTGTGGGGTGTTTTGTGAAAAATTTCGAAAGGTCACATTCTTAATCTGCACTGAAAAGAAAAAACCTTTTGAAACCTGGAAACTTTTCACAAAATGAAATTGTTTTCCAGTTAGCGTTAATGATCAGTTCAAACTTTTGTTTCCCATATTACTTATAGGGAATATTTCTGGAATTGGTAATCCCTCTGAACCGTGAATTAACTTTTTAAGTAGACCCACTGTACAATTCAAATGAAAATATTTTGTAACTGATTTTGATTTTTAAGGTTAAATTATACATCAAGCAACTTTTGGAAGGACTCCGCTATCTCCATGACAATAATGTACTTCACTTGGATATTAAGGTAACCCGCAAAGGAAAATCTACCTTATTTTAGCCATTATTGCATGTCGGTCAGGAGACTGATGTGCTTTATTCAGACTATATATTAAAGATTTACTTATATCTAAAAATAATGCCCTTTTGCAAATAAACCTTCTCCATGTATTTTGATTCATTAGCCTCCAAATATCCTGATGATTTATCCAGAAAGAGAAGACATTAAGATCTGTGACTTTGGGTTCGCTCAAAAGATAAATCCATCTGAGCCTCAGTACAGCAAATACGGATCTCCAGAGTTTGTATCCCCAGAAATTATCTCTCAGTCCCCAGTGTCAAAAGCATCTGATATTTGGTAAATTGTCACTTTTTTTTAAAGTTATAACACCTAACAACATAACTTTGGGGCTTCAGGATGAATTGATTGATACACTGGGAGCATGTACTGTAGAGGGATAAACACATTGTCTATTGCAAATATTTATGTATTTTAATTTTGCTGTACACTTTTGCTCTGGAAGGGCCTTATCTTGTGAGTTGCTAAGCATCCTCAGTTCTGCTGAAGTCATGGTGTAGTACTGAGTGTCTGATATGTAGAAATACACACTGTTGATCATATACAAAATGTTTTCAATGCAACATCTGGCTAATTGCTTGAAGGGTTAAAGAAATTGGGCTTGTAATCTATTTATGCAGTATAAAGAAGTGTTTTTTTTTTTAAAAAGGATGGTAGGGGAATTTCTACCAGTGATTTACTGCAGAACTGGTACAATGAAAGATGAGCAATTTAGAGGGTAAGGGGACTTGAGCCAGAATGTTAAAAACTCTGATTTTTGTCTGTTTTTGATAAAATTTATTGAACGCTAATGGCAAACTAGAAAACAAAATCTTTGTTTGAGAGACATCCAATAGGTAGTCCCGCAAAGCCAGGGACAGCCAGAATTGACATTCCTGATATGTTTACAGTAAAAAATTTTTTTTTAAAAATTAATAAATAAAAACTAACAAAAATTTCTTCTTTATACATAATAAAAAAGAAAAATGCACACAAACCTGATTTTGTTTTAAATCCTTCCTAAGTCACCTTTAAATAAATTGTGCAAAAACTGTTTCCTGTGTTTTGTAAAGATAAAATCAGGACTAATGCAAAGGAACAGTGAGAATTCACCTTTAGAAAGCTAATCCTTATAGGGCAGGTAAAGCTGATCCTATTGTACAGTTATTTGGATTATTGTCATCTAAATTGGGGAAGCTGTACGGTGAGGTAGGGGGAGAAGCAAGAATATCTGTCTGATATAAGTATGTTTCTTTTCTTCCCAGGGCTGCTGGAGTCATCAGCTATTTAAGGTAAATAATCTGCTTTAAGGGCCCTATTTAGCTTTCATAGAATATCAGGGTTGGAAGGGACCCCAAGAGGTCATCTAGTCCAACCCACTGCTCAAAGTAGGACCAATCCCCAATTTTGGGCCCGGATCCCTAAATGGCCCCCTCGAGGATTGAACTCACAACTCTGGGTTTAGCAGGCCAGTGCTCAAACCACTGAGCTATCCCTCCCCCTCTTTCCTTAATCCTAACTCAGGCAAAACTTCCAATGACTTCAGTAGGAGCTTTGAGTGAGTAAAGAGAGAGGTGGTGGTGATTGTTATTTAATAATTTATTTAATGTGTGTGTTACCAACAATATTCTAAGCACTTTCAGTTCTAAAGATGATGTCCCTGTTCCAAAGAGCTGACAGCTTCTATGAATATTATAGTCAGTAACAGTCAGTTCATAGCTTTGAGTTAAGTGTTTCACAATGACCGATACAATCTTATGGATACATATTTTGGCCTTCCCTAATGTAAAGGCATGTGTCCACGTTTACATAGCTAAATTGCAAGGGCGGTTTTGAAAATCAAACCCTTAATTTTTCTGTTCTTCAGATGCCTTAGCTGTAAAATGGAGATAAATAATTTTGCAAAGTGCTTCACAAACCTTGGCTGAAAGATGTTATAAAAGTGCAAATATTATTATTACTTGTGCTGTGCGTCTCTCATTTTGAATCTGCCTCCCACTTTAAAACCTTTGTCATGCATTTATGTTTTTGGAGGGTTGAGTAGCAATAAAATACTAACAGATCATGTCTCCTTTTATTTTATAATGTTAATACAATAAGTTTAACCTGCAAGTCTCCATTTGCTGGGGAAAATGACAGAGCAACTCTTCTAAATATCCAGAACGGGACAGTTTCATGGACTATCCCTGACTTTGTTCACCTAAGTGAAGAAGCGAAGGATTTTATCAGACAGATCCTACAGCTCTCTCCTGAGTGAGTACATTTCTGTTGTTTTCCAAAAATATTGTACCAGATGTTTGTGGGATGAGCTGCCAATTCTCAGCTCATCAGACCTACATTCACTCTGAGAAGTACAAAATTTGGAGAAGTTGGTATGGTCAGTTAGTGTATCAGCCTTTCACCTCTGAATGCAGCTGGGTTCAAATCCATCTTTATATAGTCACCAGAAAACTCTACCTTGAAGAGTTTATAATCAAAAGATAAGAATGTGTATAACGAATGAGCAAAGTGTCTTGATGTTATTACTCATAGACAGGTGGGTGTTCAGAAGTTATTTGAAAGAGAAGTTGGTTACTATGGTGATGAGGGCACTATAAGAACCTAATTAGAATATCATACCATGTTAATTTGGTTGTTCTAGAACACAGCTAAATAATAATAATATTCCAAGCATGGGAGAAGGCAAGAAACTGGGAGCTTCTTTTTCTGCTCTGAATGGCTGGTGCCTCCACTATTTAGGCTTATCCCAAATAGCTACCAATGTGGAAGGCTAAGCCAAACCCACAGTTAAAGGTGCCTTCTGTGACCTCTAATGCAGCTTTCCTTATTAGAAACACTTCAGTCATTTCTGTTTTGGTCAAGACTGCACTGCAGAGACTCGAGTCAGGTGCAGTGTAGAGACATGAAGCTTGGTCTTCCCCTGTGGTATCATGAAGGAAGGCACTGCAGGCCCTGCAGAATGCTGTGGTAACTGCCATCGTCCCTGACTTGAGGGACCTGCAAGAAGTCTGAGCATTGGGAAATATACTATAGATTAAAAGAGAAAACGTGTTTTACCGTTTAGGAGAAAAAATTGGCTTAAAAAGGATCATTCTGGTTGGCTTTACTGCCCCATAACAGAGCCTGCCTGGTAAAGGGCAATCTGTAGAACCTTGCTGGTATTGTTTAAAGTGACTTCCAGGCTCAGATGTCTTAAGGCCCTAGCTAGAGAGCAATCTGGGTGGCACTTGATCTTCAAGGAAGCTACATCCCTTTGGGTTTGTCATGCTGATGATCACAGCTGAAATGTGTATCTTTTCTATTATCAGAACCAGGCCTAGTGCTTTGGAATGTCTCTCACACAACTGGTTCTTGGTAAGTTTGTTTGGATTTTACCCAGTCTCTCTCCCAGTCAGCTAGCAACTGTGTTTCTCTTGTAGAAGCTATTTTGTACATATAGATGCTGGGGAACCATCCTGCAGAAATAAGCGGCGTTTTGGTTTATGGTCATTCAGGTCTTTTCTTTTCAAAACATGTAAAGAACTCCCCTTAACATTAATAGGCAAAACACATTTGCACTGAGAGGAGATTATGCCCTTTTGCGGAAGGAGAAATTAAAATTCGTATTTGGGTGCCTGGAACCCCTAATGAAGGAGAAAAGCTGAAAGGAATGAAGAATCGAATTATTGTGTGTATGTGTGTGCATTTGTGTGTGTATGTGTGATGACTGGGACATGGGCGACCTGACCTAGTGGTTGGAGCATGAGTTGAGGGTCAGGAGGCAGGCTGGGTTGTATACTGGGAGATCAGGATTAGGCAGCAGGAGCAGGTAGCATAACTGAAGCAGTCTAAGTAGGGGAAACCCAGTTGCACAGACAACTTCCTCTTCCTCTGCTTGGTTTAAATAGAAGCAGGGAATGAGTCGGGACCCCTAGAGTTCCACCAGTCAGATCCCAGCACTGGACTCCTCTGTCAGTGCTGAGTTCGTAGTTCCGGCAACCATTAATAGGTCACTGGGTGGCAGGTTGGCGCTTACTGACGCCTAAGCGCCCTGTGACCCTGGGTTTGGGACCTGCAGTCCTTGACTCTGTGTCTGTATATATATGATGAGGGCCTGATTCTGGTCTCATTGGAAATTTGTTCAAGATGTCTTCTTATTGGTCCACAATGAGAGATAGAGCCAACACTAAATAAGGAGTTCAAGATTTGGCCCATTGCAGCTAAACAACTGGACCTTTCCTTGAATTAAAATATGCTGTGTCCCCTGGAGAGTGAAATCTGACCAGGATGATAGGAAGGGGTTTCCTACAATAACAGGGGACTGGATTTGAAGACCCTGGAGGTCCCTTTTAGTCCTATGTACCTGTGTTTCTAAATCTTAAACGCCATTGAAAATGTCATTGAGATTTTGTGACCAACACTTTTTTCCCTCATTCTTCTTTTTTGCAGCATAATCTCCCGCTAGAAGAGGCTCATTTTATTAACACAAAACAGCTGAAGTTCATTGTGGCTCGAAGCAAGTGGCAGGTCAGCAGTCCTCAGTCTATTTTGCTCTTTTTTTAAAAAAGTCTCTTCTTTTCAAGACTGCAGCGCAAGTGCAGGGTGTGCAGCAGAGGTCTCCTCAGTGTGCCTCTGAGAAGGGAATACGGTCAAAGGGCAAAGGTTCAGTGGATGTGGCAAAAATAAGATATCCAGGCTGAAAAAATACAGGTCTTCCAGCTCTCGCCAGTGTTTTGCCTTCTGTGGCATGATCCAGCCCAGGGCAATGAAAGAGGGAAGCCCCTTCTGGACACTGAGTAAAGACAGGTTTCAGAGTAACAGCCGTGTTAGTCTGTATTCGCAGAAAGAAAAGGAGTACTTGTGGCACCTTAGAGACTAACCAATTTATTTGAGCATGAGCTTTCGTGAGCTACAGCTCACTTCATCGGATGCATACCGTAGAAACTGCAGCAGATATTATATACACACAGAGATCATGAAACAATACCTCCTCCCACCCCACTGTCCTGCTGGTAATAGCTTAGCCTGAGGTCACCAATGACTTCTGAATATTAGATGACTTGTTTCGTAATCTACAAAAAGACTTTGTGCTTCGATGCACAAAATGCTGAGAATACTAAAGACCAAGAGTGAAATCCCCATATAAACATCAATGGGAGTTTTGCCACTGATTTCGCTGGAGCCAGGATTTTACCTCAACAATTTGGATACCTGTATTTTAGTGTGTTCTTAAGATTGGTCTGAGGATGGGGTTGGGACTCAGGAACTTCTGATTGCTGATCTCCTCTCTGAGTCTGATTCATTCTGTCAGTAGGAACAAGTTCTTTGCCTCCCAGCCGCACGTGTTCCATTTGCACAAATTGAATAACACTGCCTATCTCAAGGGTATGTTGTGATAAACTCATTAGCTGATATGTGTAAAGCACCTTGTAGATGAACAGTACTATGTGAGTGCTTATTATTATTAGTGGAAACCTCTGATAATCTGTCTTTGAACTTTGGGCCAGGCCTAGTAGTTTTGAATACCCCCATATCCCTTTGTATTATATAACACATGTGGAATATGGGTATTTACATCTATTTAAATGTTTTATTCATTTTAAGGCCTGCAATCAGTAGCAATACAGAAGCAAAAAGGTTCCCAAAGAAACAATGAAGTACATAATAACATAAGGAAGCACGCCGGGGTCCAGCTTCTCTGCTGATGTATGTCAGTGGAGTGCTACTGATTGCAGTGGAATTATGCCATTTTACTTTACCTAAGGATCTGGCCTTGTATGTTTAATTAAGAAACTCAGTGAAACAATAGAAATAAGTGACCTGTGGCTAAATCCCCTGCACTGCTTTGAAAATGTCAATCAGCAGCCTGGTTCTCCACTCACACAGGTGTAAGTTAGCAATACCTCCACTGAAGTCAGTGAATGAGAGGAGAGTTCAGCCCAGAAATGAATCTGTCAAAACATATTGCACAGAAAGAAATAATGCCAATATGCTGTGCAGCTCTTATGTGTGTTAACAATTCTGAGGATATATAGCATAATTCTTGCCGTGTATATTTACACCACTCTCATCACTAGGTTGCTTTTTGGTTATGTTGTATTTTTTTCCGTTTTCAGCGTTCCCTCATGTGCTATAAATCTATACTGGTAATGAGATCCATTCCAGAAATCCTACAGAGAACTCACAAAAACACGTCGCTAGGCATCTCCCGACACCTGGTTGCAGAAAGTAGTTCTTCCACTACTCCTGGCTCCTCTTCAGATGATGAGAACGCATCCTTCCCCAGGAGAGGGCACTTTGGCTCTACACCAGAACTGCACTTGCCTGTGTTTGATTCACCGAGATATCAAGAACCTCCAAGTTATGCGGCAGAAGAGAAACGTTCCAAGGTCTTGGTGCCGCCAGTAAAACCCATGAGACGGAAATACGCTTTAGTGAAAAGTGAGCTGGATGATAAGCCACCTACAGAAAGCAAAGTACTAATGGCAGGTGCCTTTGCTCAGAAAGCAGAGGTGGTCAGTTCAGAAATCAAAGATGAAAAAGAAGATCAGTCCCAAGAGAGTGATGCAGAACAGCCTTCATTGGTGAAGGCAGCCACTTTAGATACATCGGACTTGGCACCACCAAAAGGAAAAACAGACACATTATTACCGGACAAAGACAAAATCGTAAAGACTGGAGCTGCAATGGAGAAACCACCCTTGTGTGTCCCCAGACAGAGTGTCATTAAAAGCACATTCTACAGCCAAGCGTCTGAGGCTCCTACACGTCTACCTGTCTCACCAGGCAGAGACTACAGAAGGCACCTTGACAGAACAAGAAGAGCCTTCAGGAAAGCAGGGTATTTAACGGTACCCTTGAGTGGTCTACGGGAACCCCTTCTAGAACAGTTTGAATTGAAAGAAGAGGAGGAGGAAGAAGAAGAAGAAGGAATGTCTGGTGATGAAGAATATGGAAAAAGCAGAGAAAGTGTGGCAGGCCCTCTGACCAAATCGGCTTCCTTTGATACTGCGAGGAAACCGTCACGTCACACCCTTCAGGTGTCCAGCAGAAGCCGTTCCCTGGATGATTACAGACTAAGAGCCGTAAGTTTAGCCAAGGAGCAAGACATTCTGGAAGAAGACTGTGATCTAACGTCACAGGGGAGTTATCCCGGACTAGCTCAGCAGCATGACATATCTACTGACTCTGGCAAGGTTTGGCCTGAGGAGCATTTGATGGAGGAGGACTCAAGGGAAGCTAGGAAGGATTGTTCAGAAGAACAGCCAGTCCCTTCTGCACAGTGTGGTGATGAAGGATGCCCGGGTCTAGCTGTTCAATCACAGAAGGTCCCAGTGTCGGCCCACCAGGGTGAAAGTGAGGGGCATTTACATCAAAAGACAAAACCTTCCATTGACATGGATGTGGAGCCAGCTGTTCTGGAAGGTGAAAGCCTGATTCTAACTGCTCAGCAGCCAGACACAGCCCCAGTGTCAGCTCACACATGTGAAAGTGAAGAGCATTTAAAGCTGACACTGAAGCCTAGTGGTGCAGAGTTTACACTTCTGCAGGGTGAAAGCTCCGTTTTGATTGTTCCCGAATCCGAGAGAGCCCCAATATCAGGCCACAAGAGTGAGAGAAGAGAATGTGCACATCAGCAGCCAAAGCCTTCTGTTCACAGTGCTGCAGAGTCTCCTGATCTACAGGGTGAAAGCCCAGTTTTCCTAGAGACTGCCCAAATTCCAGCTTGTAAGGGTGAAAGCCCAAGTATTTTAACAGCTCCACAACCAGACACTGCTCCACTTTCAGTCTGCCAGGGTGAAACCCAGGGATGCTTACATCCGAAGCCTTCTGATTACTTGGGCACAGCCTCCACTGTTTTGGCGGGAAAACATCCAATGATTCTAACACCGCCACCAGAAAGTGCCCCAGTTTCAGACTGTGAGGGTGAAAGGCAGGAACATTCCTGTCAGGCGCCTTCTGTTCACATTAAGGTGGGGTCTGCTGTTCTACGGGGTGAAAGCCTTTTTATTCTCACAATTCCACAACGAGAAACTGCCCCGCTTCCAGTCTATGAGAGTGACAGCCAGGAACAGTCACCTCAGAAGCCTTCAGTTTGCAGCGAGGTGAAATCTGCAGACTCGGAGAGTGAAAGCCTAGCTATTCTAGAGACTTCCCCTGTTTCACTTGTCGAGGGTGAAAGCCAGGAACACTCACATCAGAAGCCTTCTGTTTACAGCAAGGCAGAGTCTGCTGTCCTGGAGGACTTGGTTGAAGAGATGGTTTGTCTGTCTCAAGATATGAATGTTTTGGCAGAGTCCGTTTCTACTCAAGAGGGATGTGAAAAGCACTTCTCCCCTCCAAAGGAAATGTTCTACCAAGGTCCAGCTGGCCATACAGCCACCAGACATCCCACTCATTTTGTGCCATGGAGTAAAAGAGAAGAGGGCATTTACCAGGCTGATCTTACAGAATCAGCTGCACCAATTCCTGCAGTGGAAGATAAGTTGAGTATGCCAGCTCTGTTGAGTGTAGTCACTGAGGAGGGAAAGGTGGCTTCTCATGAATGTAAACATCTAGGGGATTTAGCAATCAAAAGCACTCGTTCCAGCAAAGCAAGCATATCCCCGTCTGATCATTCAGGTTCTGGAAAAAGATCTAGTCATATCTCCGATAGCCAGGAACCTGACAAACACTCTGAAGTTTCCTTAGTGAAGATTAAAGACCTCTCAGAAGAGATGCCTAGCACTGGCAGCGGGACTTCAAAATTTGATATCTCTGAGGTAGAGCCTGCATATTTGAACCTATCAGATCTCTACGATATTGTATATTTTCCATTTGAATTTATGAACGTCAAGAAGCCCCCATCCAAACCAATCGGTAAAAGATTTATGCCCTTCGGCGAAAAGGTTAAATTACCTCCTGCGACTAAAGGACATTTGCATCAGTATAAAAGACTGTGCATTCGGGAGGACGTTAAATCCCCTTCAGATAACTCACAAGATGCCACGACGGGGGAAACCAGACAAAACCTTTTGGACATTTCTGAAGATGTCGGGCAACCCCTTCGAAGGCTGGGGAAAGGTTCCGAACCACCAATGGGAAAAGGAGCTGAGGCCTATGTGACAACTGAACCCCAGACAATGTATGGTTTCCAAAAGGACTCAGATGGTAAGCAGAGAAACTCCACACACAGCAAATCAGGACTCTTTAAACTCTATGGCAGATCGCACTCAATGGAGCAGTCAGTAGAGCAGACTCTGAAGAAGAAAGTAAAAGCTTCTGTTGCCCATATTTCAAGAATCCTGAAAGGAAAGCCAGCCCCTGAACCGGAGCAAAAGGAAGGTAAAAATCTCATTGAGGGTGTAAATGGGCCTAACAATATACATGGGCTCTGTTACCCCTTCTCTCTCCTCTTTCCCCTCCACACTTCTTATATTCATCAGTTTATACATTCGACTTGTGTGCAATAATCAAGTGCAGATGCAATTTAAAAGCTTTAAGCTAGGTTTAAGTATGAAATAACATCAGCCGCTCCACTTACCTAGAGGGGTAATCCTTCATATCCTGATCCCCGTGGCAAAACACCCAGGAACATCAATAGGAATAGGATCCGGCTGTACTGACTAGTGGAGTTCCCTCCATCCTCTGTGGCTAAGTGTTTTATTTCAGTATAATATTTGGTATTCTCTCTAGCCCTGAATGTAAAACATGGGGCACAGTTCTGACCTTCAGTGAAGTTGATGTCAATCTGGAGTGACTACACTGAAGTCAGTGGAATTGCTCCAGATTTATACCTATATCAATGAGACCAGAATCTGGAGAATAGAATCTGTCTATACGCTCAATTTTCCCGCACCTAGGTTGTGCCATATAGTGTGTCTTTCTGCCACAGATCATCCGCCCTACTACAGCTTAATATCATCCTAGCCCCAGGGCCTTTTATTAAACTTGCCATGACTTTTGGTATTAACTGGCAATTCATTAATAAGAAACTCATGGCATTTTTACTGCTAAACTAATCACATGAACCACAGATAATAGTAATTATATGCTGCAATTAAAATGTCATTGATTTAGTAGACTGGCTTCTATTATTAAATTCTTTGAAATAGGCATTGAGAAGCAGGGAAGTGACATACCAGAAAGAGAGTCTCTAAATGGGGCTGCAGGGTATTAAAAGAGAAAATCAGGACTTCATTGATCCATTCATCCATCCATCCATTCCCTTAATTCTGAGAACATGAGCTCCCAGTTCAATGCTGTGGCCAAGAGAGCTAATGCCATCCTAGGATGCAGAGGCAGGGAAATCTTGAGTAGGAGTAGAGCGGTTATTTTACCTCTCTTTGGCACTGGTGCGATTGGTGCTGGAACACTGTGTCCAGTTCTGGTACCCACAATTCAAGCAGCGTGTTGATAAATTGGAGAGGGTTCAGAGAAGAGCCACAAGGATGGTTAAAGGATTAGCAAACTTTCTTTATAGCGATAGACTCAAGGAACTCAATCTATTTAGCTTAACAAAGAGGTTAAGGGCTGACTTGATGGGGAAAAATATTTAATAAATGGGCTCTTCAGTCTAGCAAAGAGAGAGAGATAACATGATTCAATGGCTGGAAGCTGAAGCTAGACAAATTCAGAGTGGAAATAAGGTATACATTTTTTAAATTGGGAGTAATTAATCATTGGAACAATATACAAAGGGTCATGATGGATTCTCAATCATTATACTTTTTAAATCAAGATTGGATGTTTTCTAAAAGATCTGCTCTAGTAGTTTTTTGGCAGAAGTTCTTATGGCCTGTGTTATACAGGAGGTCAGATCAGATGATCACAATGGTCTGTTCTGGCCTTAGAATCAATGAAATTATCAAGCCTCAAAACAAGGGAGAAAGGTACCTTTATGGCATGAGTTAGCAGTTAGTTTTATTGTGAAATATCACAGAGGAATATAATTGCACCAGGCTAGTATTTGAGAAGCTAAGAGAGATGTAACTTGCAAGATTTGTAAGAATTGTGTAGAGGAAAACCTTGGTAATTTACACACACTAGCAGGAATTCCAGCAGTTCTCTTTGTTCCATCTTTGCAGCAACTCCATCACCTTGTGCGGTTTTCAGATGCTTAAAGTATAGCTCTTGACCTGAAATGCAAAATCATTGTTTTTGGTGGAAAAAATAACTGCCATGGTGTCCAGGGCTTTTTTAGATGAACACATTTCAAAGCAAAATGGCATCTACTGTTAAATGTCCTTTTGTAGAATATGTCTACAAATGAAGGCCCAAATCCAGCTTTCCTTACTCAGGCAAGACTGCCATTGAAGCCAATGGAAGGTTTGTTTGGTTGTGGACTGCAGGACAAGGATACCATAAATGCCACAAAAGTTATGTTTCTAAAGAAGGACTTCAAAGGGGCCTGATTTGCCTTTTCATCTCTGAATTGTTTGGGAGCTTTTAAATTGCACAGTATTTTGGAAGTGGCAAGGGTGGTGGCCAGCTGCCACTCAGAAGGTTCCTCCAAGCTGGGTAGGGGTAAATCCAGGACTTAAATAAGCACAGTCGTAAGAGTTTCTACTTCCTTCACTGGACTTTGTGAACATTCAGACCTTCAGTGGCCCTTCTTGGCTCTTTTAGCTTGTCCTCTAGTTTAGCCAGAAGGCTAACATTAATTATCTCCTGAGACATATGACGTTTGGCAAAGCTATAGGGAGGAAACTTTTCCATTGCTGCCTATGGTATAGCTGCTGACTGGCTAAAGAGAGGGCTTCCGTATCTGTCAGTCTGCCTATCTCTCTATCTATCATCAGCTAATTTCTAGAGCACTCATCACTGTCCTATCAAAGCACTAACATACTTTCCAAGAACTGTTGAACTGATTACAAGTGCTACACTTACTAAAGAAAAAGTATGCTGCATATCACTACTATGTCTGTGATACCTTCTGAAGTTATTGGGTCTTCTCTAGGCAGCTTGCTTGTAATGTAATCTCCCTTCCAGGGTCTGGGCCGGCACACCGTGAAAAGACATTCAATGACGTGCAGGACTTTTTTTTTTTGAACTGCCACATTACTATGTGGTCACTGGGGCCTAAAAAGAGGAGGGATGGCATAATGCATACAAGAGCGTGAAAGAAGTTTGTTTTTTCCCATCGGCGCTCCTTGAAAGCTAGTCTGATTAAAGACGCTGTCTGTTATGTTGCTTGTGATTTACATATGTAATTGTCTTAATCTATCTGAAATGCTGCTTTCCCTCTTTCTTTCAGCACCTTCTTTTGTAGAAGAGCTCACGGATCAGGATGTTGCCCTGGGGCAGTCTGTGACTCTGTCCTGCCAAACGTCTGCCCATTTCCCTCTGCACATTGACTGGTTCAGAGGTGATGTAAACTCTCATTTGAGGACTTGGGACAATTTAATGATAGGATCTGGAGTTATAGCACAATAAAGATGATTGAGACTCTAAGTTCCAGGAGAAGGTTAAGGGGAGTGGATAAGAAGCGACTTTTAGGGTATGTCTACACTACGGAATAAGGTCGAATTTATAGAAGTCGGTTTTTTAGAAATCGGTTTTATATATTCAAGTGTGTGTGTCCCCACAGAAAATGCTCTAAGTGCATTAAGTGCATTAACTCGGTGGAGTGCTTCCACAGTACTGAGGCTAGAGTCGACTTCCGGAGCATTGCACTGTGGGTAGCTATCCCACAGTTCCCGCAGTCTCCGCTGCCCATTGGAATTCTGGGTTGAGATCCCAATGCCTGATGGGGCTAAAACATTGTCGTGGGTGGTTCTGGGTACATATCATCAGGCCCCCGTTCCCTCCCTCCCTCCCTCCATGAAAGCAAGGGCAGACAATAGTTTCGCGCCTTTTTTCCTGAGTTACCTGTGCAGACGCCATACCACGGCAAGCATGGAGCCCGCTCAGGTAACCGTCACCGTATGTCTCCTGGGTGCTGGCAGACGCGGTACGGCATTGCTACACAGTAGCAGCAACCCATTGCCTTCTGGAAGCAGACAGTACAATACGACTGGTAGCCGTCATCGTCATGTCCGAGGTGCTCCTGGCCACGTCAGCTGGGAGCGCCTGGGCAGACATGGGCGCAGGGACTAAATTTGGAGTGACTTGACCAGGTCATTCTCTTTAGTCCTGCAGTCAGTCCTATTGAACTGTCTTATGGTGAGCAGGCAGGCAATACGGATTGCTAGCAGTCGTACTGTACCATCTTCTGCCGGGCAGGCAAGAGATGAGGATCGCTAGCAGTCGTACTGTACCATCTTCTGCCGAGCAGCCATGAGATGTGGATGGCATGCAGTCCTTCTGCACTGTCTGCTGCCAGCCAAAGATGTAAAAGATAGATGGAGTAGATCAAAACAAGAAATAGACCAGATTTGTTTTGTACTCCCCTCCCCCGTCTAGGGGACTCATTCCTCTAGGTCACACTGCAGTCACTTACAGAGAAGGTGCAGCGAGGTAAATCTAGCCATGTATCAATCAGAGGCCAGGCTAACCTCCTTGTTCCAATAAGAACAATAACTTAGGTGCACCATTTCTTATTGGAACCCTCCGTGAAGTCCTGCCTGAAATACTCCTTGATGTAAAGCCACCCCCTTTGTTGATTTTAGCTCCCTGAAGCCAACCCTGTAAGCCGTGTCGTCAGTCGCCCCTCCCTCCGTCAGAGCAATGGCAGACAATCGTTCCGCGCCTTTTTTCTGTGCGGACGCCATACCAAGGCAAGCATGGAGGCCGCTCAGCTCACTTTGGCAATTAGGAGCACATTGAACACCACACGCATTATCCAGCAGTATATGCAGCACCAGAACCTGGCAAAGCGAAACCGGGCGAGCAGGCGACGTCAGCGCGGTCACGTGAGTGATCAGGACATGGACACAGATTTCTCTGAAAGCATGGGCCCTGCCAATGCATGCATCATGGTGCTAATGGGGCAGGTTCATGCTGTGGAACGCCGATTCTGGGCTCGGGAAACAAGCACAGACTGGTGGGACCGCATAGTGTTGCAGGTCTGGGACGATTCCCAGTGGCTGCGAAACTTTCGCATGCGTAAGGGCACTTTCATGGAACTTTGTGACTTGCTTTCCCCTGCCCTGAAGCGCATGAATACCAAGATGAGAGCAGCCCTCACAGTCAAGAAGCGAGTGGCGATAGCCCTGTGGAAGCTTGCAACGCCAGACAGCTACCGGTCAGTTGGGAATCAATTTGGAGTGGGCAAATCTACTGTTGGGGCTGCTGTGATGCAAGTAGCCCATGCAATAAAAGATCTGCTGATATCAAGGGTAGTGACCCTGGGAAATGTGCAGGTCATAGTGGATGGCTTTGCTGCAATGGGATTCCCTAACTGGGGTGGGGCCATAGACGGAACCCATATCCCTATCTTGGCACCGGAGCACCAAGCCGCCGAGTACATAAACCGCAAGGGGTACTTTTCAATAGTGCTGCAAGCTCTGGTGGATCACAAGGGACGTTTCACCAACATCAACGTGGGATGGCCAGGAAAGGTACATGACGCTCGCATCTTCAGGAACTCTGGTCTGTTTCAAAAGCTGCAGGAAGGGACTTTATTCCCAGACCAGAAAATAACTGTTGGGGATGTTGAAATGCCTATATGTATCCTTGGGGACCCAGCCTACCCCTTAATGCCATGGCTCATGAAGCCGTACACAGGCAGCCTGGACAGTAGTCAGAAGCTGTTCAACTACAGGCTGAGCAAGTGCAGAATGGTGGTAGAATGTGCATTTGGACGTTTAAAGGCGCGCTGGCGCAGTTTACTGACTCGCTTAGACCTCAGCAAAACCAATATTCCCACTGTTATTACTGCTTGCTGTGTGCTCCACAATATCTGTGAGAGTAAGGGGGAGACATTTATGGCGGGGTGGGAGGTTGAGGCAAATCACCTGGCTGCTGGTTACGCGCAGCCAGACACCAGGGCGGTTAGAAGAGCACAGGAGGGCGCCGTACGCATCAGAGAAGCTTTGAAAACCAGTTTCATGACTGGCCAGGCTACGTTGTGAAAGTTCTGTTTGTTTCTCCTTGATGAAACCCCCACTCCTTGGTTCACTCTACTTCCCTGTAAGCTAACCACTCTCCCCTCCTTCCTTCGATCACCGCTTGCAGAGGCAATAAAGTCATTGTTGCTTCACATTCATGCATTCTTTATTCATTCATCACACAAATAGGGGGATGACTACCAAGGTAGCCCAGGAGGGGTGGTGGAGGAGGGAAGGAAAATGCCACACAGCACTTTAAAAGTTTACAACTTAAAAATTTATTGAATGCCAGCCTTCTTTTTTTTGGGCAATCCTCTGTGGCGGAGTGGCTGGTTGGCCGGTGGCCCCCCCACCGCGTTCTTGGGCGTCTGGGTGTGGAGGCTATGGAACTTGGGGAGGAGGGCGGTTGGTTACACAGGGGCTGTAGTGGCAGTCTGTGCTCCAGCTGCCTTTGCTGCAGCTCAACCATACACTGGAGCATACTGGTTTGGTCCTCCAGCAGCCTCAGCATTGAATCATGCCTCCTCTCATCACGCTGCCGCCACATTTGAGCTTCAGCCTTGTCTTCAGCCCGCCACTTACTCTCTTCAGCCCGCCACCTCTCCTCCCGGTCATTTTGTGCTTTCCTGCACTCTGACATTATTTGCCTCCACGCATTTGTCTGTGCTCTGTCAGTGTGGGAGGACAGCATGAGCTCGGAGAACATTTCATCTCGAGTGCGTTTTTTTTTCTTTCTGATCTTCACTAGCCTCTGGGAAGGAGAAGATCCTGTGATCATTGAAACACATGCAGCTGGTGGAGAAAAAAAAGGGACAGCGGTATTTAAAAAGACACATTTTATAAAACAGTGGCTACACTCTTTCAGGGTAAACCTTGCTGTTAACATGACATACACAGCATATGTGCTTTCGTTACAAGGTCGCATTTTGCCTCCCCCCACCGCGTGGCTACCCCCTCAACCCTCCCCCGTCCCTGTGGCTAACAGGGGGGAACATTTCTGTTTAGCCACAGGCAAACAGCCCAGCAGGAATGGGCTCCTCTGAGTGTCCCCTGAAGAAAAGCACTCTATTTCAACCAGGTGACCGTGAATTATATCTCACTCTCCTGAGGATAACACAGAGAGATAAAGAACGGATGTTGTTTGAACGCCAGCAAACATACACTGCAATGCTTTGTTCTACAATGATTCCCAAGTATGTGTTACTGGCCTGGAGTGGTAAAGTGTCCTACCATGAAGGACGCAATAAGGCTGCCCTCCCCAGAAACCTTTTGCAAAGGCTTTGGGAGTATATCCAGGAGAGCCGCGAATGCCAGGGCAAAGTAATCCTTTCACATGCTTGCTTTTAAACCATGTATAGTATTTTAAAAGGTACACTCACCGGAGGTCCCTTCTCCGCCTGCTGGGTCCAGGAGGCAGCCTTGGGTGGGTTCGGGGGGTACTGGCTCCAGGTCCAGGGTGAGAAACAGTTCCTGGCTGTCGGGAAAACCGGTTTCTCCGCTTGCTTGCTGTGAGCTATCTACAACCTCATCATCATCATCATCTTCTTCGTCCCCAAAACCTGCTTCCGTATTGCCTCCATCTCATAGAATCATAGAATATAAGGGTTGGAAGGGACCCCAGAAGGTCATCTAGTCCAACCCCCTGCTCGAAGCAGGACCAATTCCCAGTTAAATCATCCCAGCCAGGGCTTTGTCAAGCCTGACCTTAAAAACCTCTAAGGAAGGAGATTCTACCACCTCCCTAGGTAACGCATTCCAGTGTTTCACCACCCTCTTAGTGAAAAAGTTTTTCCTAATATCCAATCTAAACCTCCCCCACTGCAACTTGAGACCATTACTCCTCGTTCTGTCATCTGCTACCATTGAGAACAGTCTAGAGCCATCCTCTTTGGAACCCCCTTTCAGGTAGTTGAAAGCAGCTATCAAATCCCCCCTCATTCTTCTCTTCTGCAAGCTAAACAATCCCAGCTCCCTCAGCCTCTCCTCATAAGTCATGTGTTCCAGACCCCTAATCATTTTTGTTGCCCTTCGCTGGACTCTCTCCAATTTATCCACATCCTTCTTGAAGTGTGGGGCCCAAAACTGGACACAGTACTCCAGATGAGGCCTCACCAATGTCGAATAGAGGGGAACAATCACGTCCCTCGATCTGCTCGCTATGCCCCTACTTATACATCCCAAAATGCCATTGGCCTTCTTGGCAACAAGGGCACACTGCTGACTCATATCCAGCTTCTCGTCCACTGTCACCCCTAGGTCCTTTTCCGCAGAACTGCTGCCTAGCCATTCGGTCCCTAGTCTGTAGCTGTGCATTGGGTTCTTCCGTCCTAAGTGCAGGACCCTGCACTTATCCTTATTGAACCTCATCAGATTTCTCCATTGAAGGAGTCGAACAACACGGCTGGGGTAGTAGTGGCTGAACCCCCTAAAATGGCATGCAGCTCATCATAGAAGTGGCATGTTTGGGGCTCTGACCTGGAGCGGCTGTTCGCCTCTCTGGTTTTCTGGTAGGCTTGCCTCAGCTCCTTCAGTTTCACGCGGCACTGCTTCAGGTCCCTGTTATGTCCTCTGTCCTTCATGCCCTGGGAGATTTTGACAAAGGTTTTGGCATTTCGAAAACTGGATCGGAGTTCTGATAGCACGGATTCCTCTCCCCAAACAGCGATCAGATCCCGTACCTCCCGTTCGGTCCATGCTGGAGCTCTTTTGCGATTCTGGGACTCCATCATGGTCACCTCTGCTGATGAGCTCTGCATGGTCACCTGCAGCTTGCCACGCTGGCCAAACAGGAAATGAGATTCAAAAGTTCGTGGTTCTTTTCCTGTCTACCTGGCCAGTGCATCTGAGTTGAGAGTGCTGTCCAGAGCGGTCACAATGGAGCACTCTGGGATAGCTCCCGGAGGCCAATACCGTCGAATTGTGTCCACAGTACCCCAAATTCGAGCCGGCAAGGCCGATTTAAGCGCTAATCCACTTGTCAGGGGTGGAGAAAAGAAATCGATTTTAAGAGCCCTTTAAGTCGAAATAAAGGGCTTCATCGTGTGGACTGTGCAGGTTTACATCGATTTAATGCTGCTAAATTCGACCTAAAGTCCTAGTGTAGACCAGGGCTTAGCCATCTCAGTAGAATTTAAGGACTTATTCCTTCTGCCTTACAGATGGGGTGCCCATTCGCAGCAGCAGTAGGATACTGATCTCAGCCACACTCAAAAACTTTCAGCTTTTAACCATATTGGTGGTTATGGATGAGGATTTTGGTATTTACACATGTGCGGCCAGCAACTCCCTGGGTACAGCATCCACCTCCTGTGTAATAAGGAAGGCAGGTAAGAGCTGGAAGTAATTCAAGGAAGTAGATGCCTGGTTTGTACAGCTCTCACTCGAGGATTATATCCAGAATTAGCAGACATGTTGCATAATAGATTTTCTTCCACTGAGGGATACTTCATTTTCTGGGAACTCACAGAGAAAGTTCCAGATGGGAAGGCAGCAAAGGCGACGTATCCGTCTCCGTTTGCACTTTAGCCTCAACACCCCAATAGTACAGATGCTTCAAGGTGCCTTGGTGAAAGCTGACGCATTGACCGTAGTGTAGAAACCTTAATTTAGATGGTTGGAACTGGAAGACCTTGGAACATAGAGGCTGGAAATACAAATACCATTTTTTTTTAGCAAGTAAGATCATTATAAAAACTAAAGCAAGTGACATTCAGAAGTAAGGATAGGCGGATCTGATAGAATGTGATGGTTAGTAAACTGATGTTCACAAAACTAGTTCAAATTGCATACCTTTTCAAACTCCTGGGTTTTTCAAAGATTATTTTGTTTTAGAAAACAACCAAAATATGTTTTTACCTACGAAGAATTCACCTATCTCCCAGAACTAGGTTGGTGCAAATGCATAGCTTGTATTCATTGTATATACTGAGTCAGATTCTTCCATGATGTAAGTCTGTTGAAGTTAATGGAGTTTACACCAAGCATGCATCTGACAGATTGTGTTTATATTTTCCATGGAATTTTTCTCTCCTCCCTATCTCTGCTCCTTATACAGAGGAATTTATATATGTGTTTGTTTCCGCCATGCTTGCTGCAGTTTGCCTTGAGTTCTTTCTCTCTGCTCCTTTTTTCAGAGTCTCTCCTAAGTGGAATGGAAAGTCAATAACACTCTAGTTTGAATCCAACTTTCAAGTTTTTGATAGGTTTGAAATCCTAAATCCAAATCCTAAATCCAAGTTTACCATTCCAAAAGGGATCAGCTGTTTGGAATGGAAGAAAATCTACAACTGTAAAATTACTCATCTGTTAGAGGAAGAGGGGTCTAGGCCTTCATGTCTGTCTATTGTCTATGACACCCTTAATTTTCTGTGCCTCCCTCACAGAAGTTCTGGCTAGTCCCCCCGCCCCTGATATTGTGGAGGTATATGAGGATGGAGTGCAAGTGGTCTGGAAACCTGTGGAATCTAACACCGTGGTTACGTATACTGTACAGTGCAAGAGCGAAGGTAAAGCAGAACTAGATAGTCTCCACTTCTCATTATTGTTATCATGATTGTCCAGTCGTAGTAGTATCATAGTGCCAAGGAGCCCCAGTCATGGATCAAGGCCTCATTGTACTAGGTGCTGTACAAACAGAATAAAAAGACAGTCCATGTGCCAAAGAACGTAGTTTCCCATCAGTATCCTGTACAAGATCTGTGCAATGACAGTCTCCTTGATTCAGAGATAATTATACCTTTAGTCATATATTATTTGGGTTGCCTGACTCATTCAGAGCCTGATGCAAAGCCCACTGAAGTCACTGGGAATCTTTCCATTTACTTCAGCTGGCCTTGGATCAGAGCCTTTAGCGCCTGACCTCTCTGAGTTCCTTTTATTATTACTAATAATATTAAATATTTACCTTGCAGTAGCACCTACAGGTCACCCACATTGGGCCTAGAGCTGTGCAACTAACGGATGTTTGGTTACATGGCAATTCTAAAAAATCAGGGGGAAAAGATCATTTTGGGTCAACCCAAAGCAAAAAATTTTGAAATTTTGGGAGAATTGTAGAGTAAACTAAATTTAATTTAATTTCAGGTCAAACACTGTTTTGGCATTAATTAAATGGAAAGGTTTTATTTTGACCATTTTAAAACATTTTTTTAATTAAAAATGCTTAAAAATGGCCAAAATAAAATTTTGAAAGGCAAAATTGTTTTGAACAAAAGTCAGCGGATTTGATTTTGAAATGTTGAAATAAAATGTTTTGAGCTTTTCTGATTTTTTTAGCTTCTTTTCAGTTGAAACAGTTCAGTAAAATCAACATCAATTCATGAAACATTTAGATGTCACCATTCAGCACTTTTTGTCAGGAAAAAAGTTTTGTCCGAAAAATTTCACCCAAATGTAGTTGGGCCCAGTTGTCCTATGTGCCTTCCTCTAGATCTGTGTATATCAGAGGTTTTCAGACTGGGGGGCATGGAAGGTATTCTGCTGGGAGGGGTGGGCATGAGAAACTTTCGGGGAAAAGAACATACTGCACACATTTTGCCCACAGCAATGAATAACTAGCAACGCTGATTCGGCCAGAATCATATCAGGTCCTCGGATGATGCTGTGTATTGGACTCTAGATGGTGCTGTGCATTCTGGCGGATTTCTGTTAAGCTGGCACAGCATTACACAAAGTCATTGCCACTGTTTGCTACCACGCGGGGTGCCCATTTAATTGAAGGTAGAAGGGGATCTCTGGAGAGCTGTTTCAAGCATCCAACCCAGGATGGGAATTGCTGTGCTCCAAAAAATAGGCAAACCCATCACACTGGTAACAAGAATGTGATGCCAGTAAGCAGTATCTCACTTAAAATTTACATTGCTATGTACTTAAATGGCTCTGTTTGAATCAATGCCTTACTGTTTTTAATGTTTAGTGAGAGTTGCATGTTGATTTTTTTTATCAGTATATGTACTTGTGTCGCGGGGTGTGTGTGTAAACTACTACACAAAGAAGCAGGGTGCAATCATATAGGTTTGAGAACCACTGAATACATATGTAGTTCATTCTGGATAGTCATGAGTTAGGTAAGGAGTTGTTCCTCTATGAGGGTTTATACCTGAATAAATCTGTTCCTGTTGTTCCCTAACCCTGGGCCTGTGGTGTATCCATTTCCCTGCTGACACAACAATACTATATAACACAATGTGTAACTGCAGTATGCAAACCGGAATGTATAAAAAGTAGAGTTATGTGAAATGTTCTCAACAAAACTCAGAATCACATGAGACTCATCTGGATCAGGATTCCATTACAAATCTAAAACCCTTACTAGAGTCCTTGAAAGGTCATTTGAGCTTAGAATCATAGAATATCAGGGTTGGAAGGGACCTCAGGAGGTCATCTAGTCCAACCCCCTGCTCAAAGCAGGACCAATTCCCAGTTAAATCATCCCAGCCAGGGCTTTGTCAAGCCTGACCTTAAAAACCTCTAAGGAAGGAGATTCCACCACCTCCCTAGGTAACGCATTCCAGTGTTTCACCACCCTCCTAGTGAAAAAGTTTTTCCTAATATCCAACCTAACAAACCTTGAGTGATCTAGGGCCCAGGTTTAAATTATTCTGGGGATTTATTTATGGTTCTTAATTATAGTTGTGCGATGTTTTCAGTTTTGCTTGCTTTCATCATGAAGCTAAGTAAAATACAGCGGTTTTTTGAGCAGGGTTTTGCTTTGAGTTTGGGGTTCATGTTTGAACCTCAAATCTCAAAGTGGAGCTCAGGGAGGATAGGTATGAAATTACATGAACTGAAACTACAAACGCATTCACAGCCACCCCCTGCAATGAGCATTGCATGGCTCTAATATAAAATACCTGGCTTCAGAAGTGAAAATATGAGATCACTACAAACATGACAAGGCAACGTGAGGTTATAATTTCAGCCCCAGCTGGTTCGTTTAAATATGCCACCAATTTTCTGCACTCCCAGAACAGCAGTAATTGGTGGCACAAAAGACACCCGATAATCCCTAGAACAAGTGCTAACCTGTGTCTCTCTTTGCTTGGCCAAGATGGTGAATGGAAGACCCTTGTTACTGACATGGCTGATTGCTGCTACTATGCCAGTAATCTCTCCAGGGGCTTGGTTTACGCTTTCCGGACAGCCTGCATCAGTAAAGCTGGAATGGGACCTTACAGCAGCCCGTCGGCCAAAGTAAAGATTGGTGAAAAAGACCAAACAGGTAAGCTATTGGGTGGTGGTAGAACATCTACACTATCGTACCTTCTTTGTGTGTACACTCAGGGGAAGTGAAGCATAAACCTGGAGGAACTCCATTGCCTCCAGTGTGTTTTAGGGTTTTGAATCCTAGGCGCTGTTGTTCATAGATAGTCCCTCAGCTGACAGCAGGATGAGTTGTGAGAACTCCTAGCCTTGGCATCTTGGGATTGAAACTGTAGATTACTTGTACAGGAAAGACCTCTTAATGCTCATTTAAGTGAGATCACTTAATGCTCCGGCATGCTCATTTAATTCGGGCGATCCCCAGGGAACAGAATCAGAGTAATGTGTTTCAGTTGAGTGAAGCGTAGGCTTAATAGTACACCTATGGAAGTGGTGAAAAGTCCATTGAAATGCCATGGCCCTGGTGCCGTCTACAAGACACAGCTCAGTAGTTCATTGATGTGAATTGGTGTTTGCGTCTGTAAAATTCCCTTTGTTCATTTTGGGCTATTTCTCTGCTTAGCGAGTCAAACTTATCCCATAGTTTTTCTCTATAGTTTAATGATTTGTTTGTATTGTTGCTTATTTTTAAAGAAATCCATTAAATGAGAAGGACTCTCCCAGCAGCTGAAGGCATCCCTCTGAGAACTGAGATAATGGCCTATCTGGCATTCTGTTTCATAGAATCATAGAATCATAGAATCATAGAATATCAGGGTTGGAAGGGACCTCAGAAGGTCATCTAGTGCAACCCCCTGCTCAAAGCAGGACCAATCCCCAATTAAATCATCCCAGCCAGGGCTTTGTCAAGCCTGACCTTAAAAACTTCTAAGGAAGGAGATTCCACCACCTCCCTAGGTAACGCATTCCAGTGTTTCACCACCCTCCTAGTGAAAAAGTTTTTCCTAATATCCAACCTAAACCTCCCCCACTGCAACTTGAGACCATTACTCCTTGTCCTGTCCTCTTCTACCACTGAGAATAGTCTAGAACCATCCTCTCTGGACCCACCTCTCAGGTAGTTGAAAGCAGCTATCAAATCCCCCCTCATTCTTCTCTTCTGCAGACTAAACAATCCCAGTTCCCTCAGCCTCTCCTCATAAGTCATGTGTTCCAGACCCCTAATCATTTTTGTTGCCCTTCGCTGGACTCTCTCCAATTTATCCACATCCTTCTTGTAGTGTGGGGCCCAAAACTGGACACCGTACTCCAGATGAGGCCTCACCAATGTCGAATAGAGGGGGACGATCACATCCCTCGATCTGCTCGCTATGCCCCTACTTATACATCCCAAAATGCCATTGGCCTTCTTGGCAACAAGGGCACACTGCTGACTCATATCCAGCTTCTTGTCCACTGTCACCCCTAGGTCCTTTTCCACAGAACTGCTGCCTAGCCATTCGGTCCCTAGTCTGCAGCTGTGCATTGGGTTCTTCCGTCCTAAGTGCAGGACCCTGCACTTATCCTTATTGAACCTCATCAGATTTCTTTTGGCCCAATCCTCCAATTTGTCTAGGTCCCTCTGTATCCTATCCCTGCCCTCTAGCGTATCTACCACTCCTCCCAGTTTAGTATCATCCGCAAATTTGCTGAGCGTGCAATCCACACCATCCTCCAGATCATTTATGAAGATATTGAACAAAACCGGCACCAGGACCGAGCCCTGGGGCACTCCACTTGACACCGGCTGCCAACTAGACATGGAGCCATTGATCACTACCTGTTGAGCCCAACAATCTAGCCAACTTTCTACCCACCTTATAGTGCATTCATCCAGCCCATACTTCTTTAACTTGCTGACAAGAATACTGTGGGAGACCGTGTCAAAAGCTTTGCTAAAGTCAAGAAACAATACATCCACTGCTTTCCCTTCATCCACAGAACCACTTATCTCGTCATAGAAGGCGATTAGATTAGTCAGGCATGACCTTCCCTTGGTGAATCCATGTTGACTGTTCCTGATCACTTTCCTCTCATGCAAGTGCTTCAGGATTGATTCTTTGAGGACCTGCTCCATGATTTTTCCAGGGACTGAGGTGAGGCTGACTGGCCTGTAGTTCCCAGGATCCTCCTTCTTCCCTTTTTTAAAGATTGGCACTACATTAGCCTTTTTCCAGTCATCCGGGACTTCCCCCGTTTGCCATGAGTTTTCAAAGATAATGGCCAATGGCTCTGCAATCACAGCCGCCAATTCCTTTAGCACTCTCGGATGCAACTCGTCCGGCCCCATGGACTTGTGCACGTCCAGCTTTTCTAAATAGTCCCTAACCACCTCTTTCTCCACAGAGGGCTGGCCATCTATTCCCCATGTTGTGATGCCCAGCGCAACAGTCTGGGAGCTGACCTTGTTAGTGAAGACAGAGGCAAAAAGAGCATTGAGTACATTAGCTTTTTCCACATCCTCTGTCACTAGGTTGCCTCCCTCATTCATTAAGGGGCCCACACTTTCCTTGGCTTTCTTCTTGTTGCCAACATACCTGAAGAAACCCTTCTTGTTACTCTTGACATCTCTCGCTAACTGCAGCTCCAGGTGCGATTTGGCCCTCCTGATTTCATTCCTACATGCCCGAGCAATATTTTTATACTCTTCCCTGGTCATATGTCCAACCTTCCACTTCTTGTAAGCTTCTTTTTTATGTTTAAGATCCGCTAGGATTTCACCGTTAAGCCAAGCTGGTCGCCTGCCATATTTACTATTCTTTCGACACATCGGGATGGTTTGTCCCTGTAACCTCAACAGGGATTCCTTGAAATACAGCCAGCTCTCCTGGACTCCTTTCCCCTTCATGTTAGTCCCCCAGGGCATCCTACCCATCCGTTCCCTGAGGGAGTCGAAGTCTGCTTTCCTGAAGTCCAGGGTCCGTATCCTGCCGCTTACCTTTCTTCCCTGTGTCAGGATCCTGAACTCAACCAACTCATGGTCACTGCCTCCCAGATTCCCATCCACTTTTGCTTCCCCCACTAATTCTACCCGGTTTGTGAGCAACAGGTCAAGAAAAGCTCCCCCCCTAGTTGGCTCCTCTAGCACTTGCACCAGGAAATTGTCCCCTACGCTTTCCAAAAACTTCCTTGATTGTCTGTGCACCGCTGTATTGCTCTCCAAGCAGATATCAGGAAAATTAAAGTCACCCATGAGAACCAGGGCGTGTGATCAAGTAGCTTCTGCGAGCTGCCGGAAGAAAGCCTCATCCACCTCATCCCACCACTACATCACTCTTGTTGCTCACACTTCTAAACTTAATCCAGAGACACAGGTTTTTCTGCAGTTTCGTACCAGAGCTCTGAGCAGTCATACTGCTCCCTTACATACAGTGCTACTCCCCCACCTTTTCTGCCCTGCCTGTCCTTCCTGAACAGTTTATAACCATCCATGACAGTACTCCAGTCATGTGAGTTATCCCACCAAGTCTCTGTTATTCCAATCACGTCATAATTCCTTGACATCACCAGGACAATTGAAAGGATTCCACTACACCAGAGAAATAGCCTTGCCCATCTCAATGTAATTTACCAACCCTCGCCCTATATGCTTGCCTTAGGCCAGGAATTCTCAACCGTTTTTATACTGTGATCTCACAATCTCTCCTGAGCCACGATCCAAATTTCTTTATGCCAGTACACACAGTGCTTCCAAGGAGGTGCCATCATGTTTCATACGGTGCTCCTATTCCAGAGGAATATGCAGGAAGAACCAATGGCAAGTGACTGCAGAAATTCTGCTTCAGCTGATAAAACGAAACATGGAGTAGAAGCAGGTTACCGGTCCACAGGCAATGTCTTGCCATCTCATTGAGGGCTGTGACCAGGTGGCAGGTTGAGAACCAGTGGCCTAGGCTAATATAGACTAATTGCTTGCCATTTGCAGTGAGACAGAGCAGCAAGTTCTTCCATTAGATCCACTGGTCCTCTAACCTGTCTATGTCATAGGCTAGTCCAGAGGAAACTCGTAATGGGACATGTCTACACTGGGGCCGGAGGTAGAATTTCCAGCTCAGGTAGACCTACCCATGCTAGCTCTGATTGAGCTAGCACGCTAAACATAGAAGTGTAGCTGCAGGCCCATGAGCGGCATGACGAGCTGGCTGCCCTGAGTGCAATCCTGTCAGAGACCTAGGTACATACTTGGGGTGGCTTGTGTCATGGCAGCTACATTGCTGATTTAGTGCGCTGGTGTCAAGGTTCCTCCCCCACTCTGAACTCTAGGGTACAGATGTGGGGACCTGCATGAAAAACCTCCTAAGCTTATCTTTACCAGCTTAGGTCAAAACTTCCCCAAGGTACAAAATATTACACCCGTTATCCTTGGACTGGCCGCTACCACCACCAAACTAATACTGGTTACTGGGGAAGAGCTGTTTGGACGCGTCTTTCCCCCCAAAATACTTCCCAAAACCTTGCACCCCACTTCCTGGACAAGGTTTGGTAAAAAGCCTCACCAATTTGCCTAGGTGACTACAGACCCAGACCCTTGGATCTTAAGAACAATGAACAATCCTCCCAACACTTGCACCCCCCCTTTCCTGGGAACTGTTGGATAAAAAGCCTCACCAATTTGCATAGGTGACCACAGACCCAAACCCTTGGATCTGAGAACAATGAAAAAGCATTCAGTTTTTTACAAGAAGACTTTTAATAAAAAATAGAAGTAAATAGAAATAAAGAAATCCCCCCTGTAAAATCAGGATGGTAGATATCTTACAGGGTAATTAAATTCAAAAACATAGAGAACCCCTCTAGGCAAAACCTTAAGTTACAAAAAAGATACACAGACAGAAATAGTTATTCTATTCAGCACAATGCTTTTCTCAGCCATTTAAAGAAATCATAATCTAACACATACCTAGCTAGATTACTTACTAAAAGTTCTAAGACTCCATTCCTGGTCTATCCCCGGCCAAGACCCAGCAACAGACAGACACAGACCCTTTGTTTCTCTCCCTCCTCCCAGCTTTTGAAAGTATCTTGTCTCCTCATTGGTCATTTTGGTCAGGTGCCAGCGAGGTTACCTTTAGCTTCTTAACCCTTTACAGGTGAGAGGAGCTTTCCCCTGGCCAGGAGGGATTTCAAAGGGGCCTACCCTTCCCTTTACATTTATGACAGCTGGCTTGTTCAGAGCTAACCTGTGAATGTCCACCCGAGCTGGAAATTATACCTCCAGCTCCAGTGTCAGTAACCCTGTGTTCAGTCCTGAAGGTGTTTCTTTGCACTACAACAGGGGTTCTCAAACTTCATTGTTCCGCGACCCCCTTCTGACAATAAAAATTACTACACTACCCCAGGAGTGGGGACCAAAGCCTGAGCCCACCCCAGCCCCACTGACCCGGGCGGTGGAGGGGGGACAAAACTGAAGTCCAAGAGCTTCAGTCCCAAGTGGGGGGCCTGTAACCTGAGTCCCAACATGCAGGGCTGAAACCCTCAGGCTTCGTCCTTCGGTGGTGGGGCTCAGGGCTTCAGTTTCAGCCCTGGGCTCCAGCAAGCCCAACCTAGACCCAACCCACAGTTTGAGAACCGTTGCACTAGAATGTGATTTGGTGCCTCTATTGTGAGACATTTCACAAATGTGCCTGCTGACGTCTGAAATACGGTAGCTGCCTGTCTTCATCTCTATTGACAAGAAGATACCCAGGGATGACAGAGCAAGGATTTGAACTGAACTTAGTGTTGTTTTCTCTTATACATCCATGTCTCTCTTTCCCTCTAGCGTTTCAATCTGCAAAGCAGACGTTCCCAGCTGCTACAGAGGGTGAGAGTGAAATAATGGCACCAGCAGAGCCTTTTCCAACCCAGCAAAGCTACGCCTTCCAGACAGAGATCAAAAGGTATAAAGGCCAGAAACCCCCAGTTAAAACACTCAAATGTTCAGGGGAAAATGCTTCAGTTTGGACCCTAAAACTCAGAAATGTCACTTTTATAAACCTACCGGCCACCCACCTGTTACCTGCCCATTTACCACTTTGTTTTAATGAAAACATCTCCAGTAGCACAGGATACTGGGCATTGCTTGGTTGCCCTCCTCTTGTCTGACTTGATATTGCCATCATTAAATGAATCCTGAGCCAGACCCTGCTCAAATGGACATGTGTAGGTCTCTCACTAACTCCATACACGTACTCACCAACCAGGGCAGATCCCACTCCTTCCAGGTAGATAAAGCTTGCCATTGAGCGCCTGGGGTTCATAGCAATTCAAATCCAATAGCCAGACATCAACTGTAACAGATCCATAGGCCCCCAGAATTTCATTGTCCTTACTGTATCCCACACTGTGGCAGAGGAGAGGGGCTTTCCAAGAGGTGGGATGGAGGAGAAGATGGGGCCACTCAGGACTCACTCCGGGCAAGAGTCTCCATCACCTTGTAGAGGCCCCCCCTCCAACACTTAGGAACTAGCCCATCCCCAAGGAATTTCACATCTGGGAATTAGCCAGGGTCCTAAAAGGTAAAAGACACTGAATCAGAATGTGGGGTCTAAACACTGGATTCTTGCTAAGAAGCCCAATAATGTACAGCCCAGCTATCCTCTGGGCTGGTAAAGGATTCTCTCTTAGGCTACCTTTACGCTTGTGAGCTCGGGGACGAGTCCCAGTTCACTGAGACGTACTGGTGCTAGCTGTCATCGAGCTGGCACGCTAGAATAGTAGGGCAGCCATGAGCAGCAGCACGGGCCAGCCATGCTGAGTACGTCCCCATAGAGTTCAGGCAGGTTTGTACTCGGCACGGCTAGCCCATGCTGACACTGCTTGTGATACTCCGAAGACACTACTGTTTTTAGCATGCTAGCTCCTTCACACCCCCAGCTCCAAACATAACATGTAAACATACCCATCATTGCACCTATGCATGGCGGATATTATTCACAGGCACTAGAGGTCAGGCTTTTGCTGCTGCCATTAAAAGTAGCCATACGCTTTCACTTTAAGGAAGTGCAGACTTACGGTCTCTCATGCCAGCCCAGCATGATCATAGTTTTCACTCCAGGGTCTGGATGCAAAACAAGCAGTAGGATGCTGTTGATCCTAAGGTAGGGCAGAACCTGGCTCAGGCTACCTTGTTCCAAGAGCAGCAGGAGAAGTTTAACTTGCCCCTGTGCTTTTGTTGCTCCAGGGGGCGTTTCAGCATCGTCAGACAGTGCAGGGAAAAATTAAGCGGAAATGCGCAGGCAGCCAAAATTATCCCCTACCGGCAAGAAGACAAGCAGGCTGTGCTCCAGGAATATCAAGTCCTGAGGAAGCTTCATCACACAAATATAGTCCAGCTGCAAGGAGCCTACGTGAGCCCACGGCACCTAGTGCTGATCCTGGAATTGTGCGTGGGGCCAGAGCTACTCCATTGTTTGGCTGAAAGGTACACATCCCACTGTACCTGCTTTCTTTGAGGCTGGTGTAGCTAGTGAAGCATCTGTATTGTGGATTTTTGCCCACCTCTTCATTCTGGAGCATCTTCTTCCACCCAGGTTTTCCCCCAGTCTAATCTCGTACTACACTTGTGATACATCTCCTCTTCTCCCCTGAGACTTGTTTGGATCTTCAGCTTCCGTGGATCAGCCACAAAACCAGTACCTATGGAGCACCACCAGAGATGAAGGGCATCAATTATTTGAATGCGTCTGTTCGCTGCCTTGATTCCCACAGTCTCTCGTTAAATCCCAGCTCTCGAGTGGCCATAAAGAGGCTGCTCGTTCTGGCCGAGCGTAAATCCTACCTTTAAGGTGTAAATGTACAATAGATGGCATGGGGATTGTGTGTGGTTCAGGCAGCCTTTCCACCTATTCCCATTTCTCCTTCAGCCTCCCCCTAATGGCTGAAAACTGATCAGATGACATCTAATGAGTAAGAAGGGAAGGCTAAGCCCATGATCTAACCACAGGAGCTGCATTCTGGTCCCACTCTGCCACTGACGCCCTCTGCAGCCCAGTCACTTAATTTCTCAGCCTCAGGTGTCCATCTGTAATACAGGCATAATAATATTTACTTACCTTCCCCCAGTGGAGCTTCGTGAGGGTTAATTCTTAATGACTGTGAAGTATTTGAAGCTGATGAAAAGTGCTGATCCTATTAGGACTTAATGGGAATTTTCCTATTGACTTCAGTGGAACAGGAACAGGCCATTAAAATACGCAGGAAGGACAGTTATGATTTTTACTGTTTCCTTTATCAGGACATCCTATTCAGAGGTGGAGGTCAGAGACTATCTATGGCAGATCCTCAGTGCAGTTGAGTTCCTCCACGCACACCACATCCTGCACTTGGATCTGAGGTCTGAAAACATGATAATTACAGAACCCAACCTGCTTAAACTCCTGGACTTTGGCAACGCGCAGTTCTACATGCCAGACAGAGTCATTACCATGGATAGGTGCATTGACTACGTAGAAACCATGGGTGAGTACGGTATGTCAGTGCTACGTCAGCATGGCCTCGGGCCCCTGCTAGATGGAAGGTCAAACTGGGACAATGGTGGGAGCGACACTTCATAGATGTGTTTGTAGATGCTCCCATTCATTGCCTGGCAGATGCTCCCGTTGGTTGCCAGCTAACAGGAAATTGAGGTCGGCCTCAATTCTCTTAAATTATTCCCACTTGTGCTATAATGGAGGTTATAGAACTGGATGTTTCTGCAGTGTCCAGAATTCACCGTGAATTTCCTGGTCTGGATGATGCTGGAGTTCAGAAGGTTTTGAGTCTGCCTGTGTGCTAGCCCTGGCCTGCGGTTGGCTGGTGCAGTGGCTAGAACTGAGTGGAAACAGCAGCCTTCCCAGCTTGCTCGTTCCATTGACTCAGTGACTGTAACTCATAAATATCACATTGGTTGATTTAAAATGTGAGACAACCCTTGTGAAGCACAATGTCTCATCATGCAGTCACTGCATGGGCAAAAGCAATGAACACAGCACTAGATTTGCAATATATACCTAGTAAAGACAAAGCTTTTTGAAGATGTGTTTGTAGGTCTCCATTTGTTTGGCTTCTTAAATGACTCAGGATATTCATGGGGTGTCATGCATCAACCTGTCCTCTGTAACAGACCTTCTCTTCCTCGTCTCTTGGGAGCATAGCAAAGATTAAAACTATCACACTGAGCTTTTCTGCTAGAATAAATGTTCCATCTTGTAAGGAAACTCTACTCATACTGCTGTGCCTTTGTAGCTCCAGAACTGCTGTCAGAGCAAGGAGCCCTCCCGCAGACTGACATCTGGGCTGTCGGCATCACCGCTTTCATCATGTAAGTTGTTCCCTTGCAAAGAACTAGAAGTACAAGTGAATAATCACAATGACGACACAATTGGCATCACAGAAAAGTGGTGGGATCATTCACACGACTGGAATATCGGTATAGAAGGATACAGCTTGTTCAGGAAGGACAGACAGGAAAAAAGGGAGGAGGAGTTGCCTTGTATATCAAAGATGTGTATGTTTGCACTGAGGTTGAGATAGAAGAGGGAGGCAGACCTGTTGAAAGACTCTGGATAAGGATAAAAGGGGTAAAAACCAAGGGTGATGTTATGGTCGGGGTCTACTACAGACCAACTAACCAGGGAAGAAGAGCTGGATGAGGCTTTTTTTAAACAACTAACAAAATCGTCCAAAGCGCAGGACTCGGTGGTGATGGAAGACTTCAGCTACTCAGACATCTGTTGGGAAAATAACACAGCAGGGCACAGATTATCCAGCAAGTTCTTGGAATGCATTGGAGACAACTGTTTATTGCAGAAGGTGAAAAAAGCTACTAGGGGAGAGGCTGTCCTAGATTTGATTCTGACGAACAAGGAGGAACTGGATGAGAATTTGAAAGTGGAAGGCAGCTTGGGTGAAAGTGATCATGACATGACAGAGCTCATGATTCTAAGGAATGATAGGAAGGAAAACAGCAGACTAAAGATAATGGATTTCAAGAAGGTAAACTTTAGCAAACTCAGAGAATTGGTAGTTAAGATCCTGTGAGAAGCAAATAAAAGGGGAAAGAGTTCAGGAGAGCTGGCAGTTTTTTAAAGAGACATTAAGGGCACAAGAACAAACTACCCCAAAGTGTAGGAGAGATAGGGATTATGGTAAAACACCACAGTGGCTTAATCAGGAGATCTTGGAAGTTTTTAAAAACAAGTTGGACAAACATCCGTCAGGGATGGTCTAGGTTTTCTTGGCCCTGCCTCAGTGCTGGGTGCTGGACTTGATGACTTCTCAAGGTCCCTTCCAGCCCTACATTTCTATGATTCTATGGGTATGTGTACACTATGAAATTAGGTCGAATTTATAGAAGTCGTTTTTATATATTCAAGTGTGTGTGTCCGCACAGAAAATGCTCTAAGTGCATTAAGTGCATTAACTCGGCGGAGTGCTTCCACCGTACCGAGGCAAGCGTCGACTTCCAGAGTGTTGCACTGTGGGTAGCTATCCCACAATTCCCAGTGGGTCTCCAGAAATGAGATTCAAAAGTTCACGGTTCTTTTCCTGTCTACCTGGCCAGTGCATCTGAGTTGAGAGCGCTGTCCAGAGCGGTCACAATGGAGCACTCTGGGATAGCTCCCGGAGGCCAATACCGTCGAATTGTGTCCACAGTACCCCAAATTCGACCCGGCAAGGCCGATTTAAGCGCTAATCCACTTGTCAGGGTTGGAGTAAGGAAATCGATTTTAAGAGCCCTTTAAGTCAAAAAAGGGCTTCATCGTGTGGACAGGTGCAGGTTTACATCGATTTAACGCTGCTAAATTCGACCTAAAGTCCTAGTGTAGACCAGGGCTATGTATTAGCAGGAGTGTTGTAAGCAAGACATGAGAAGTAATTCTTCTCCTTTACTCAGCACTGATAAGGCATAATCTGAAGTATTCTGTCCAATTCTTCAGGAAGGATGTGGACAAATTGGAGAAAGTTCAGAGGAGAGCAACAAAAATGATTAATGGTCTAGAAAAGATTGAAAAAAATGGGTTTGTTTAGTCTGTAGAAGAGAAGACTGAGTGAGGACATAACAGTCTTCAAGTACTTAAAAGATTGCTATAAAAAGAAGGGTGATAAATTGTTCCCCTGAACCACAGAGGTTAGGACAAGAAGTAATGGGTTAAATTGCAGCAAGGGAGATTTAGGTTGCACATTAGTGTAACCTTGCCACACCTCACCACCAGATGTCAGGGTGGAGCTCATCCTGACACTGCTTACATCAGGAAAAAACTTGCTAACTGTCAGAGTGGTTAAGCACCAGAACAAATTACCTAGGGACATTGTGGAATTTCCATTATTGGAGGTTTTGAAGAACAGGTTAGACAAACACCTCTCAGGGATGGTCTAGATAATACTTGGTCATGCCTCAGTTCAGGGGCTGAACTAGATGACCTATTGAGGTCCCTTCCAGTCCTGCATTTCTGTGATTGTGGATTGCATCAGTGGAAGGCAGCTTTAAATCCACTAGAGTTTCAAAGGAGATCCACCAGCAGAGATGCACTAAGGGCCTACTGCATCAGCTCAGAATAGCCAGAGTACAGTGGCATTCCAGCCACGTCCCTCCTCCCTGGCCACACACCCAGAACTGAGGGTTGTGAAATAGAGTGGTTTAAAGCTGTCTATGCTGGCTCCACACTGTCTGAGGTGAAAGGAGTACTCCCCGATGGGCTGCCTTTATAGGCCCTTTGCACAGCAGGATTGGTGTCAAGGGGCCATGTTGCAACACAGAATCAACCCACACCCACCTTTCATGCATGGCTCGGCTCTCCAATAAAACTCAGCCAGCACGAGCACATTAAAACTACAGGAAGTAAAAAGGCAAACAAAGCATTCTAATGAACCCTTCCTCCAATAAATCATCTCGTCTTCCATTTCCTCTTCCCATACAATGCTTCACAGCACAGGTGGGGTCTGCTTCCTCGCACTGGCCCAGCACTTCCCAGGAGTGCTCAGCAAGGAACTGGGAACAGTCAGTTGCATTTACAAAGAGGTCTTTCCCCTCGCGTGTCGATTTACCCTCCTTTTTTGTGTTAGGCTGAGTGCCGACTACCCCCTCAGTTCTGATGTAGCCTGTGACTTTCTGAGAATCGCCAAGAAAGGGAAGGTGAAACTTACCAGATGCTACGCGGGTCTGTCCGGGGGGGCCGTGACATTTCTTCAAAGCACGCTGTGCGCAAATCCCTGGTAAGAGGATGTTTGCTTTCCAGCCTGCAAACCTATGCAGGGCCCAGTTACTGCTCTCTTCTCTCTCTCTCTAGCCAGCTACCTAACTTCCTCTCACTGCGTGTCTCCCTCTGATCCAGACTCTTGTTGACGCTCTAGCTCTCTTCCTATCCTAGGGGGAGGCCATCGGTAGAGGAATGCCTTCAGGCTCCATGGCTCCAGGAGACGGGATTGGATGGCAGACAGCAAGTGGTAGTCACTTTCTCCACCGCCAAGCTGAGGAGTTTCCTAGCAGAACGGGAGAAGAAAAGGAGCCTCTTGTGTTCAAAGTATGGGCTGATGATTGCTCAGTGAACTGGGTGGTAGCCCAGTGAAGAATAGATTCCCCTCCCCTCCCCTCCCCCGCCCCACCCCACCCCACCCCGACAAATACTTGCACTGGGGGTTTGGAACCTAAGTGTCGTATCTGGTTACAGACCTGCTGCAGTAAACCAGTGACCCTGACGCCTTAGAGAGAGATTTGAGTGAGCAGGTCCCATTAGACATGAGTGAATGGGAGCTGGATCTCTGGGTGGCTTTGAAAATCCTTCCCTTAGAGTTCCAAGACTGCACATAATGCCGCTCAGTGACCTCCCCACAAGGTCCAGCAGCAGCACAGAAATACCAGACCCCCAGCCACATCATGAGCCTTTCGGACATTACTAAACAGACCCCCTGCGATAACAGCAGCTTCAGCTTCTGATCACCTGTGCTCATGTGATATGCAGGTCTAGTTTGTCTCTCAAAACCATAAGGAGTAAGTAAAAGATTTCCCTTGGAATGCAGCACTGAGCTGGGGCAGAGGAGGCTATTGAATGATAGTGCCCCAGGATGGAATCAGACTATATACATCTTCACTGTTTAAAAAAAAATCCATTGTGTGGCTATCAGATGAAATGTGTAGTGTGTGTGTGTGTGTGTCTTCTAGGCAGAGTTGTAGGTAACTGGAGCTATAAATAACATTTGTTCAATAGGGCATCTGATGTGTCTGTCACATAGTAGCAGGGGCTAGAGTTAACATACACAATCAGCATGCAACAGTGACTGGACCCAGTGTGTAACGTACCAGGGCCGTGTTCACGTACAGCCACCATAGTCATCCGTGACTATGACAAAGACATCCAAGACAAAACACAGGCCTCTGCCACGCACACTGAAAAAGAATTCTTTCCTCTGGAAGTAGCGGGCTGCTAAGCCTGCCACTAGAGGGAGGCACGAACACACTCAATACAGGAGTGTTACATGCACAATCTGCACATTACTGCAGACAAGACTGTAACCGGGAGTCTCATGGTGCCTAGACAGTAACTGTCCCAGGTAAGCCTCCCTCTGACCAGGCCAGAATGAGCCATGCTACGTTTGTTTCCAATGGAAGTCAGTCTTCCGTGTACCTTGTACGACAGGAGATGCATAGTTTTGCCTGTTCAAGAATAGCCATTTGTGGCCATCTTCCTGCTCGTGCAAGAGAAAAGGCACTGATATAGTCTTGATTTTTCAGTGGAAGACCAAATTAGCCCTTTGTATGCTACTCCTATGGATGGCCCAGATCATGCCGTCTCAGACACAAGCCAATTTCTTCTGCTATGCACTAACAGAGTGGCAGAATGTATAGCATGCATCATTGGGGGGTCTACACATGCCCCTGTGCATTGTGATATATGCAGCACGGACTAAAATCCTCAAAGGATTGATCCTTACCGTGATTATAACCACAGTGAATATGAGCTTTGGGACAGGAATTTAAAGTCTCCAGTCTTTATGATCGGAGGGAAAATATATCAGACACCTAGTAGCTTAAAGCAATCCCAACTTGCTTTATCTGAATCTGTTGTCTTAAAAATGTAAAACACTCTGTTAGGAGTTTTATGCCGATTTTGCAGGTCACTGCCATGATATATTGATACGGCTTCTGTAGGGTAGGTGGCCCCTGCAGGTAGAGACTTGGCACAATTAGGATTTTAGAGCGAGGCATTCTCTCTCAAATGAGCACTCTCAGAAAGAAAACTTTTGTCCACATCTGGGAGAGACTGTTCTGAAACTGCAAAGGGCCATACTCTGGGCCTTGAGTGAGTGGTTCATTGCAGTGAACTCTCTACTTTGCCTGGCTTGCTGTCGAAAGTGACCTCTGCATGCTACCTTTGTTGGCTGCACTGATCTGTGTCCGTGGGTACAGAGGAAATGCCCACTCATGGGGTGACTTTCATAGGAACAGCTCTTCCCCGGGACAAACATCAGTTCCACAGATGCTCGGGGGAGATGTGACAACCCCAGGAATCTGCAGTGATGAAGTTAGGGTCATTTTTCCTTAATGCCAACCATAGCCTTTTAAATCAACCACACACAACACACGCCTTTTCGCTGAAGCAATCAAAGTAGCACAATGTTTTCCATTATGCTTCTTCTACACAGCAAAGATCACTTATGCTAGACCGTTTGTTAGCAGTGCTTGCCTGCTGCTGGCGATGCCAGGTACATCCGGGTGTGATGCACCTGTCGTGCCACTGAATGTACAAGACACATCCAGGCAGAATGTACCTGTTAAGCTGCTGAGAATTCTGGAAATATCTAGGTGGAGCACAGCTGTTGAATGTGCTTGGTATATCTAGGTAGAACACACCTGCTGTGCTGCTGAATGTATCAGATGTATCTAGTTAGAATGTGCCCGTTATGCTGCTGAATGTGCTGGGTGTATCTAGGTGGAACACCCCCCACCATGCTGATGAATGTTCTGGGTGTATCTAGATGGAACACCGCTCATACTGTTGAATGTTCTAGGTAGAACACCCCTCGTGCTGCTGAATGTTCTGTGTGTATCTAGGCGGAACACCCGCACGCTGCTGAATGTTCTAGGTGTATCTAGGCGGAACACCCCCATGTTGCTGAATGCTCTAGGTGTATCTAGGCAGAACACCCCTATGCTGCTGGATGTTCTAGGTGTATCTAGGCGGAACACCCCCATGCTGCTGAATGTTCTAGGCGTATCTAGGCGGAACACCCGCACGCTGCTGAATGTTCTAGGTGTATCTAGGCGGAACACCCCCGTGCTGCTGAATGTTCTAGGTGTATCTAGGCGGAACACCCCCGTGCTGCTGAATGTTCTAGGTGTATCTAGGCGGAACACCCCCATGCTGCTGAATGTTCTAGGTGTATCTAGGCAGAACACCCCCATGCTGCTGGATGTTCTAGGTGTATCTAGGTGGAACACCCCCATGCTGCTGAATGTTCTAGGTGTATCTAGGTGGAACTCACCACTGTACTGCCGAGTCCATGCTAACTCTTCCATTATGAAAGATGTTAATAGAAAATCATCAGCTCAATAGGTACACTGTAATACCACTATCACATGGGTTAACCCCTGCTTTAACTTAGGCTTCTGTTGGTACTAGCTGTACAGCAGTCAAAGGCACATGTCACAACAATGACCTTGACCTCATTAAGTACAGAATTTGCATGTCTAAAGGCATTCTGCCACTTGGGCGCCTGGGCTGTTGATTTGTAGCTCTTCTGATATATTTGGGAGATGTGGGAACAGAGTTACTGGAAAATGTATTTCAGTTTGATTTTTAAATAGAGGCCACAACATCCTGGAGTTTAGTGTCTTCCATTGTGTCTAAAAACTGTCAAGGATTGTTTTTATTTACATTTGATGGTCTTAGCATTGTATTTCTTTTGTGAATATAATCTCTGCGTTTATGTGAAATGACTCATATGTCTATTGGTTCTGGTGTGGTCGGTTTATTTCACCAAATACCATTTGGTGACTTTCATTACAAATGGTGTTTTGCTCATAGTTCTGTATCCAGAAGCATTAATGGAGATGGGAGCAGGAAATCAGTTCCTCATGTGCTACCGTTTCATAAGATCGTGAAAGAGTGAGCGTGTTTAAATGGTGACAGCCTTTCCAGTCATATTTAATGCACATTGGTAAGATCCTAAAATGCACAGCAGTAAGGTTCCTTATGATGCTTGTACAGCAAGCAGCACAGGAAATGCGGCTGAAACTAGAGGACGTTTAACTAGACTGGGGAGAGCAGACACAGATTCAACAGACTATGAAGCTCTGAATTTCAAAGTTACATTGTCGCCATAGTCCAGTGTAGGAGAGGGTGCTTAGGTCTTAGGGCCCAATTCTGAGTTGAGTTCCGCTGAAGCTAGAGGAGTTACTTTGGATTGATACTGGTGTTACTTAGATCAGAATCTGGCCCATAGATTTTCAGGATGCTGTCTTCCCTCCAACTTAATATCATAGCAATCAGATGTGCTTTAGATTGGCACAGTCTCGTGCTTTGGTTTGATTTTTAAGGTGGAGAGGGGTCAGTTTGTGAAGGGAAAACCCATTTAAGAGTAAGATTCTTAATGTAGGTTAACATATATCAAGACCTGGGCTCATATCCCTTTTCTCTTTCTTATGCAATTCAAATTAACTGAGTTTGCTTCCCTAATTTGCATGCATTTTGAACATGTCAGAAGTCTGTGCACTCAGTACTGTTTTGTTAAATAAACTATGTTGACAAAGAAGTTAGACCATATTTTTTGCTGTTATTCTTTTCCTATAATTATAGTACTGTAGCATTCAGGTGTGTCAATCGGACTCAGGGCCCTTGTGTTCTAGGCACAGCACAAACACATCCTAGCTGGATGCACACTTAGTTCTTTACTTAGGACGACTCCTGCCTCCAAATCATTTTGGTTGCACCTCTTCATATTCTTTCTGTTGGATCAACATCATTCACATACCGCGGTGCCCAGACTGAATACACCGTACTGGTCTCTCCACTGCCAGAGAGAGAAGTACTACCAAGTCCCCATTGCATGATGCAATGCCTCTGGACACCAGCCCCAAACCCCATTGTTTTGTTTCGTTTTCAAGTCACAGCATCTGCTTGAAATAAGGACTCATGCTCCTTTCTGGCTCCTTTTCCTGAGCCTGCAGTGAAGCCATAGACCTGAGGGCAATCTCGTGGCTAAAACTATGTACCATGGGAAACAATCCTCCAGGGCAGGGATGTGGGAGAATATCCCCCAGAGGATACAGGCTCCTGCAGGGAGCAGGGACAGAGGGAGGAGGGGAAGCCAAGGAACACAGGGGATCGTGGGAGACAATAGAGGGAAGGAAGCAAGTGGGGCGCAGCCAGCCTGAAGACTCGGTCAATTTCCCTTCCGTTGCGGCAGAGCGAGCCCGGCTGGGCTGCACAGGAGCCGCAGCCATGGGAGAGCCCAGCCCTCCTCCACCTCCGAGCCCTCGGTCCCCATCCTGCTGCTGCACCCCATGGGGCCAGGGGGCTCCCAGCGCCCCCCCGCCTCACCTGCACAGGCAGCACCGCTCGTGGGCAGAGGGAACCAGCACCTGCCCTAGCAAATCCCCATCCTCCGGGGATGGGCATCGGGGCAGGGAGGCACCAGCTGGGGGTCCCCGGGAGCACCAGAGCGGCTGTTGGACCTGCGGGAGAGTCTCTGCCAAGCCCTCCTCAGGTCCAGGGCACTCCAGGCTCAGTTCTCGGGCTGGGCAGCCCACACGCGCTCGAGTCCAGCGGCTCATTGCTCGCTTCCCCCCCGTGCAACCTCTTGGTTCACTTCAGTTCCTGCTCCAGAATTCCCCCTGCCCTGCCCTGCCCTGCCCCACTCCAGGGAAGGGCCCTGCAGCAAGTGGTGCTGGGAGAAGCCCTGCCAATGCACCTCCAAAGCCAGGGGCTGGCCCACGGTCCTTACCCAATTGCTGGTGCAGCATCTTCCCTCCCAATGCATCAGAGATCACTCCACTGGGTTACTGCAGGAAGTAGATCATTAATCTAGTCCAGCTCTGGTTAAAGGTTGTACCAGTCAGCCAGGTGATTGACGCATCAAATCCAATGTTTATTCCATGTTGTTGCAGCCCCGTTGGGCCCCAGATATTAGAGCGACAAGGTGGGTGAGGCAATATCTCTTATTGGCCCCACTTCTGTTGATGAGAGAGAGAGAGAGAAAGTTTTCCGCACAGCGCTCTTCTCACCCAGACCTGAAGACAAGCTCTGTGTAAACGGGACAGCATGTGTCTGTCACTGAGGGCAGTTGGAGCAATAAATGATCTTACCTTCCCCACCTTGTCTCGCTAATATTTATTCCACCCAGGAATTGGTTTCCAGCACATTCAAACGTGAAGGCAACTGGGAAATACATCAGCAGGCAAAACCCCAATCAGGAATCCAGCTAACCAATCATATCGAATGACTCACATTCGTGACCTGTGGCTGTTCCTTTCACAAAGAGCTGGGGGAAAGGGGGAATCCTATTTTATTTGTTTCAGACTTGACAGCTGGGTGCAGAACACAGAAGCAACATATCAGGAAATGTCCATGCAAAGATAATGCATTCAGTGGGCCCCATTCCAATCCCGCCGCCCCTTCCACGATGCCCACAAACTCTGTCCCAGAGCCTAAGCGCTGTGATTTAAAGGGATGTGAGATTGCTTTTGAAATGCAAAAAAAGGAATCTTTCTAAGTGATCTCTACCCCTGGGTCTAGAGTGGCACCACTCCAGGATTTCCCAGGATCAACGCTTTGTTGCAGCAGCTGTTCTGGGAAATGGGTCCAGGTGCTCAGTAGATGCTGCAGCAGGGCTGGCCTTAGGGGAAATGGTGCCCTGGGCAAACGTATATTTTGGCCCCCCTGGCTCCCATGATAGTGAAAGGTAATGTGGGCGTAGCAGCCCTATTTCCCCTGGCCCCCGTGGGCGTGGTATGCCCCATTGCCTCTGGCTCCTGTGGGAGTGGCACCCCCCCATTGGGCCTGGCCCCCGTGGTTACCTTTTCAGTTTCTCTGAGAACTTGTCAATAACACTGGAATCACCATGTGTTGCTGTATCTGGTAAGTGCAACTCTCCACAGGCTGGGCTCATTCCAGGTTCCAAGGTAGACACAGTTGTTCTGTGTGCCTGATTCGCTGCCTGGACCTAACCTATTTAGGGTTGAGAAGGAATTGTCCCCTAAGTCAGATTGGCAGAGAGACCCTTGGGGTTTGTCACCTTTCTCTGCAGCATGGGGTCACTTGCAGGTTTAAACTAGTGTAAATGGTGGATTCTCTGTAACTTGAAGTCTTTAAATCATGATTTAAGGACTTCAGTAACTCAACCAGAGGTTAGGGGTCTATTACAGACAGGGCCGTCCCTAGAGGGGCGAGGCAGAAGTGACAAATCCATCACTTCTGGGACCGACTGCGCTGGGCAGGGGAGGTGGTGCCTCCCCAAACAGACAGGTGTGGCCCCACCCACACTCCCCCCCCCCTTCTGCCAGGTGTTGTCGGCAGCAAAAAGGGCCAGGTTCAATTTTCCAGGGGATCCTTCTAATGACTTACAAACCACCAGCTCAAGTCCCTTCGGAGACCTGGGAAACTATACACCATCCTGGGTGCCCCAAAGGGCAATATTTCTCCACCCCCAAGCCCAGAGTCCAGGCATTTGAAACCAAGAGGACTTTAATAAAGGGGACACAACAGAATGAACTGGGGGGGGGGAAGCTACAATTTACAAACTAACAATATTAGGTAAGACTCAAACATGGTTAGGGTGACCCCCTATGTGATATCAGGCATATGTGATATCAGCCTCTTGTGCCTTCCTTTCCCAACAGGATTAAGAGCATTTTATTGCCCCCAAACTCAAAACGTTATTGTATGTTAACCAAAATAGCCCAAACTGTCACATAACTGAAATGCAAATGAGGTCTGGCCCAATCATCGATTCGAGATTTTTTTGTTGTTGAGACCTTTCAAAAGTAGCCCAATCGACAAAAAATCACTGAGATTGGCAACGTTGTGCCAGACACATTGCAAAGAAACCGATTCTTGTGAGATTCTCACTCCACTTTTGCAGACACCAGAAGTTAGGCTAAGAATCCAAATATAGGGCACTCAATTGAACTTTGAAATTTGGGGGAGCGGGGTGTATTCATCCATCACTGTCATAGAATCAGAAATGTCGGACTGGAAGGGGCCTCAATAGGACATCTAGTTCATCCTCCACACTGAGGGACCATCCCTGACAGGTGTTTGTCTAACTCAGTGGTTCTCAACCTATTTACCATTGTGGTCCGCATCCAATACTACCTGAATGGCCCTGAGGATGTCACATGGGCTGCAGCTCTGTGCTGACTGGGCCACAAGCGGCCAATGGGTTGCAAGTTGAGAACCACTAGTCTAACCTCTTCTTAAAAACCATGAGTGATGGAGATTCCACAGTAGCCCTAGGTAATTTGTCCCAGGGCTTAACTACCCTGACAGCAACGGGTTTTTTCCTAATGTCCAACCTAAATCTCCCAGCATGATGTTCTTTTTTTTTTTTTTTACATTGCCCATTATCCTATTGAGCCAGACCCCACCTCATGGTGGTGTTAAAAAGAACCTTGTTACAGTAGTGGTTTAAGTCCAAGGGGTAAACGCTTTCTCCCATTCCCACTCGGCAATAGTGAGGCTCTGTTAATTGTTTCAGGAGCAGTTCAGCTCAGAAAACAGAACCTGCTTCTTCTCTGTGTAATTCTATAGTGTTGTTGGGTATAAGGGGAAAAAATAACAAGGAGCTCTCACAACAGACACAGATAACAACGTGGGAAAAGATACAGGTACGATCTCTACAAAAAGAACAGGAGGACTTGTGGCACCTTAGAGACTAACAAATTTATTTGAGCATAAGCTTTCGTGAGCTACAGCTCACTTCATCGGATGTATTCAGCTTAATAGCTGGTCCCTTGGCCCCAGACACAACACAGGTGTGTCCTGATGAGGATAAAGTATACTTTGCTCCTGCCGTTAGACTGAACCATGTTGTGTTCTTTAATCATATGAATCATCCAAGGTTCTAGCCTAGCCCAGGACACACCTGAAACACAGTTCAGTTCCCTTTATGTGGTCAAGACTGAATCACATTTTTTACCCAGGTCAGGGGAAGTGTCGCATTATAGTTTGTTCCCCTGACATAGTAGGAATTACACTGTAAAAACAACTTTAGATCAGTTGCTATTATAGTGATTGTCACTTGGACCTGAAAGTGACACTCAGGGCTTGCCTACACAGTGAGTTAGTGCATGGCAAGCCAGAACTCTGCAGTGCACTAACTAGCCATATGGACTCTGCTACTGTGCACTAAAAGTTCTGCAGTCAAAGCACGCTATGGAACATTTAGTGCACAGTAGCAGGGACCATATGGCCAGTTAGGGTGTGGCAGGCTGCTGTATGGTAGATTCAGTTGACCTAGTTCAAAAAAGAAGTAGATCAGTTCCTGGTGGACAGGTTAATCAATGGCTCTTATCCAGGATGGGCAGGGATGGTGTCCTGAGCCTCTGTTTGCCAGAAGCTGGGAATGGACGACAGGGGATGGATCACTTGATGATCACCTGTTCTGTTCATTCCCTCTGGGGCACCTGGCGTTGGCCACTGTTGGGAGACAGGATACTGGGCTAGATGGGCCTTGGTCTGACCCAGTCTGGCTGTTCTTATGTTCACACTTTGGCTTGCTGTACAGTAACATCTCTTGTAGATAAGGCCTCAGGAGCCTGACTGATGAGACATGAGAAGGTCAGTGGGAGGCTGCAGATAGAAATATACATGATTTAAAAGCATCCCATTGTGCCTTCCTAACCTTGTAATCTTGCTGTTGTTCTATCATCTACCCTCTCTTGTTAGTTACTCAAGTGAGCCCTGATTCAGCACAGCACTTAAGCATGTGCTTAAATCCTTTGACTTACAGTTAAGTACTTGCTTAACAGCTTTGTTAAATTACAGCCCAGGTAACAAACAAGAGGAGAGGAGTGGGATGGGATGCTGGTGATAAAAGTAATAAGATTACATGATTACCTAGGGGCACAGCTTGATGGTTCTGAATTGTAAGTTCTTCTAAACACAAGTCAAGCCCTGCCTCCACCAACTCTCTCATTCCTTCCAAAAGTTTTCTTCTTATTGCCTGTAGATGATCGGTGATTCTTCTCTTAAGATGTGTTTGTTATTTTACAAGAAATAAAAGTTAACCTTACTAAACATGAATGGTCAGGAACACTCTTCTTACCTCATGCCATATTTCCTTTTGTCCAGTTTTCTGTCACCTCCCCAGATCTTCATAACTTCTTAAAACCAATTGTCAATTGTTCACTAAGCTTTATAGTTCATTCCTTTAACAGCCTAGGACACAGCATGTAAAATTTTGTTTGAGTGCAAAGGAGCAAGAAGAGTTAGTCTGACCATACATGTCCAGTAAGCTTCCCTTCTATTCCCAGTAAAATCATGGGGAAATGTTCAATCAAAGCCCAAATAAGTAACACACAAGCTGAGGGCAGTTGGGTGAAAATTTTTCCTGTCATCTGGACTGACTGATTTGTGTATGTTCAAATTTTCCAATTTTTTATCAAGAGGTATTTTAAAAAGCTTGTCTTTCATTGCTTCCTAATTGTACAGACTTTTACTCCTGAGGCTAGATTTAGAAAAGGAACAGAATAGCTCACGTATTTGTGATTCCTCAGTTTTATTTCCCTCCTAATTTATTAATGGAACTACTTTTCTAGGAGTAAAATTTTCAAAAGCAGCTACGTTTTTGAAAATACCTTTAAAAATCTGTCCACAGGTCACTAAGTCACTGAAAATGGGAATTAGGCACTTTTGAAAATTGTACATATACTACTTTTTGCTCTGATATATTTGTAAAAGTCCTATTCCTGCTCACTCAAGTGGAGCAGCCAAATGAAACCGGCAAGACTTCTGGATTGTTCCATTTTCTTATCAAGCAGAGTATTGGGAGGAGAGAAGTAAGTCCTAGGAAAATGTCACTGTGCCAAATTGCCAGATTCATTCCCAATACAACCTCTGCTTTAAAGAATAATAATTCCTGGGACCTAAACAGGCTGACAGCATTCTTTTAATAAAAATAAAATTTAGCAAAGTACAGCGGGATTATAGTCAAGACAATTTTAAATTAATCTCTGGTATCCTTGTTCCTAATCCCTATATAAAGAATGTATTTGTCCTATGTCCATTCAATATATATTTTAATAGAAACATAGAATATCAGGGTTGGAAGGGACCTCAGAAGGTCATCTAGTCCAACCCCCTGCTCAAAGCAGGACCATTTCCCAATTTTTGCCCCAAATCCCTAAATGGCCCCCTCAAGGATTGAACTCACAACCCTGGGTTTAGCAGGCCAATGCTCACACCACTGAGCTATCCCTCCCCCCATATCTAAATGCACAGTCAGACATTTCAGATTTACAGTAAGAAGAGTGGAAGAATTAAAAACCCATAAATCCATGCTAAGGAAACTCTCCCTATTCCTATTTTCCTTCAGGAAATTCACTAACACTCTTGTTTTCTTTGCATGTCAGCAAGCATTCACTTACACAGCCCCTTACAATTCTGTAACAGGAGATAGGGGAATTTCTGCAGTGAGTCGGAGAGTTCCAAGGTGAGAGTAACATGTAGAGTGAACATTAACGTTCTGAGCAGTGCTGTGTTGCCAAATAAAGAGACAGGTTATAATAACCATCTAACAGGTATGGAAGATCTTTACACAGACCAATCTCTTCTGTAACTTTTATTGCAATTCAGCTTGACAAATCAATCCCTCTTGACTGAATTATGGAGCCAGTACGCAACAGGGCTGCAGCAGAAGGGGGTCATGTTTTCAAATTAAATACGCAGACGGTATTTAAACTGGACATCGTGAGTGGGCTGCATCGAACCAAATCCCCATCGGCTCACGTCTATCGGTGGGATCTCCTCTTTCTCGTTAACTAGCTCCAACTCATAGTAAGACAACATCAGGAACACAAACAGTTTTATTTCATTGACAGCAAAGAACCGTCCAGGACAGATTGAGGTGCCTGCCCCCCAGGGCATGTTAAAGTATTTCAGCTTTTTCCCATTCTTGTAGAAATCTTTTTTGGTGCCATCTTGGTTCAGGAACCGGTTGTATTTGAAGGTGTAAGGCTCAGGATGGACTTCGGGGTCCATCTGCACTGCGATGTAGGGAAACAGGGCTACCCTGTCCCCTTTGCGGAGGGCGTACTCCCTGCCATTGGCCATCTTGAGATTCAGGTCCTCAACCACTGCTCTGATCAGAATGGGAGCTGCTGTCAGGCGCAGGGTCTCATCCACTGCGCTGTCCAGAAGAGGGGTTTTCATTAACATGTCCCTGGTGATGTTAACCACAGGGCTACCTGGCTTCACTTCCTGGCCAGCCTCTCTTAAAACTTTGTCCACTTCTTCCCTCACAGCCTGCATTGCTTTGGGATGCTTCATGAGATACAAGAGAAGCCAGAAGGAGCTCGGGCCCGTGTTGCCTTGGGCCGCCCAGAGAAGCAGAAACATGAATCGGTCCCGCATGTACTCAGGCACCCCAAGTTCTGCCAGGAACTGTTCTTGGTCGCTTACCCACCCGCTGATGTTATCCTTCTCACGGCTGTTCTTCACAGAAAGCAGCTTCCAGAAGAGCCTCTTCAGCCTCTCCGCTTCCATTTTATCCTTAGGGGGTAGCACAGCATAGGCCAGGCGGGGGAAGAGGAGGTCGTACTTCCGGAACTCATCAAACAGCTCTTCAGAGTGGATGAGATCACGCTCCTTGGTTTTCTCCTTACTCTCTGTCTCTGTGCCTGGCTCGTTTCCAAACAAAGCCAGGTAGCCAGCCCTGAAGACAGTGTTGTAGCTGTAGTGGAAGAGCCCATCCTGCTGCCAGGGTCTCTCTTCTCCTGAGTCCCTGTTGTGAAACATGAGGGTCTGCAAATTCTCCATCATGGCCTCAGTCATGACCACTAGCCCATCTCCCATGAGGTGTTTTGTGCTTGACACCTGAATAATCTTATGGTCATTTTTACACTGTTGATACCCAAAAACCCTGGCTACCAGTTCTACGGCAAACGTCTCAAAGTCGAGTTTGGCTTTTGACGCCTTCACTATGGCTCCAAAAGAGAGGGGGTCCATTAGGAAGGTGAAGTAGTAGCCTCCAATCAGCACTGTGAAAATGTCCCCATGTCTCCTCTGCATCTTTTTCAGGAACTCTGCGCTGTTCTTTCTGAAATCCAGTGCGTACCCCAGCCATGGAATGTGGCCTTTATCCAGTGGAGGCTCCATGGGTCTCCTTCTTCGAAAGGCTCCCAGGAGATAGAGCCCACCGAGAACTGAGGCTAACAGCGCACAGAGAACTGCCGCCCAGAAAGCCATTTGCTAGAGACCTGTGCACCGGAGCAGGAATTCCAGACAGACTGAGAGGAAAGGCTACAATGCTGTGTTTATAAACCCTTCCTGGCAGATGGCCAGTCACAGACTGACTCCTGGCCTCATTCTCTGTTTGCAACTAAGACTAACCCTTCTGCTGACAAATGCTGAGCACTCCAGTTTTTATCCACGTCTCATTTACTAAAAGATCCACAAACTTTTAAGGCCAGCATGGGCAGCGTGTAATGGAGGCAGGGGGAGACTAAGCCTCCCCAAACCTCATGCTGCCAGGGGCAGGACAGTGGGGTATTTGGGGCTCCCAGAAAAATCTCCCCTCACCACAGCCCTGGGGACATGGCAGGGGCACAGAGCTTTTCTGGTCTCGGGGCCTCAGTGGGGGGTGTGGGGGGAAGGAGCAAGCAGGGGACAGGGTCTGGGGGAGAGGCAGAGTGGGGGAAGAATGGGGGTGTAGCCAAGGGGGAAGGGCTCCAGGCTTGGAGCTCCAGCCAGGGCCAAGAGCTTGACCCCAGTGGGACCAAGCTCTCAGCCCCTTCCCCCCGCCCCCATACTCCCAACCAAGCTCTCAGTCTCCCAATGCCAGCTGGGGCCACAAGGGGGAGTGGTCAAGCTCTCAACCCCCTCCCCTCCCACATAGCTCCGACCGAGCTCTCAGACCCCCCTGTCCCAGATGGGGTCAGGTGGGGGTGGGGGGCTGAGAGCAGCAATCGGGGGGGGGGGTGGCCTCGGCTGGAGGAGGCGGGGCACGGAGCTAGCCTATGCAAGGGGAAGCTTCACCCACCACCCATGAAGCCCAGAAAGGACTATTATGGTCATCTGGAAGATATGTTGTATGGAGTCAAACACAAGCTTTTGGGCTCAATACAGGGGTACCTGGGTGTATTTCTCTGGTTTGTGTTGTACAAAAGGTCAGACTAGATGGTCTAATGATCCCATCTGGCTGTGAAATCTCTGCATTAATCTATTTTCATTTCCTGAATCAGAAATGTTAGAGAATTTCACTCAGTGATTCTGGCATCAGACAATGGGTTGTGACAATTTGCTGGCTGATACAAAAAAGTGGGACTTGTCCAAGTTGTTTGGAGAAGGGAAGGGGTCTGTTTGAGCAGGAGAGAGGATGAGGGGTCAGCACTGGGATAATTTTAGGTCAGATGTTGTGAGAGGGAAGGACCCCAACACTCCAGGCTCTGAGGTTCCCCAACAGCACAATGACCTGCCGTTGCCCACAGATAAATAGTCAGATGCAATTACAGGGCCCAAGCCTGCAACGCCTTTCAACATGTGAATACGAATTTGCATAATCAGGTCCAAAGTTTGAGTAGTATCCTAATAATTACTTCTTATGTAGTGTTTTTCATCAGTAGATCACACAGCACTTTAGCAACCAGGTCAGTATCATTATCCCCATTTTACAGATAGGGAAACTGAGACACAGAAGAGGAACGTGATTTGCCCAAGGACACCCAGCACAGTTGGGAATAGAGCCTAGTTCTCCTGAGTCCAGTCTAATGCTCCATCCAGTATGCACACGCAGGGGGACTGTCATAAATATAAAGGGAAGGGTAAACCCCTTTAAAATCCCTCCTGACCAGAGGAAAAATCCTCTTACCTGTAAAGGGTTAAGAAGCTAAAGGTAACCTCGCTGGCACCTGACCAAAATGACCAATGAGGAGACAAGATACTTTCAAAAGCTGGGAGGAGGGAGAAAAACAAAGGGTCGGTGTCTGTCTGTATGATGCTTTGGCCGGGGACAGAACAGGAATGGAGTCTTAGAACTTAGTAAGTAATCTAGCTAGGTATGTGTTAGATTATGATTTCTTTAAATGGCTGAGAAAATAGCTGTGCTGAATAGAATGAATATTCCTGTCTGTGTGTCTTTTTTGTAACTTAAGGTTTTGTCTAGAGGGATTCTCTATGTTTTGAATCTAATTACCCTGTAAGGTATCTACCATCCTGATTTTACAGAGGTGATTCCTTTACTTCTATTAAAAGTCTTCTTGTAAGAAAGCTGAATGCCTTTTCATTGTTCTAAGATCCAAGGGTTTGGGTTTGTGGTCACCTATGCAAATTGGTGAGGATTTTTACCAAACCTTCCCCAGGAAGTGGGGTGCAAGGGTTGGGAGGATTCTGGGGGGAAAGACGTGTCCAAACTACGTTTCCCAGTAAACCCAGATAAAGTTTGGTGGTGGCTGTGGAAATCCAAGGGTAAAATAATTTTGTACCTTGGGGAAGTTTTAACCTAAGTTGGTAAAAGTAAGCTTAGGAGGTTTTCATGCAGGTCCCCACATCTGTACCCTAGAGTTCAGAGTGGGGAAGGAACCTTGACATTGGCCATTTCAGATTTTGGTGGGGCGGGGCAACTTTGTGATTTCAGGGGCTACTTAGGTACCTGAAAACTCTAGTTTTTTTGCAGATAACTTAGAAATTAGCTGACAGGAGCACTGTATCTAATTCCTATATAAAGAAAGGAAATTAAATTAATGAGACCCACAGCTTTAATACTAACATCTTGTGTCAAGTCACTTAAGGGACACTGGTTAGGTTTAAATTCTTAATGTCTATTCTCACTTTGTTATTAACTCTTGAATACAACAATTGAAACAACTGTAGAAAAATCTAGATTACTTTCTATCGTTTAGGCTACTTACTTTTTGCTGTTCACCAAGTTTGGAATAGATCCTTTAACTTTTGGAAACATCCTACCAGGGCAAGGCCCTGTGAGTTTACGCTGCACCTGCCTGGGGCTCTAAGGGTGCTACTATACTACAAACAATAGACTAGAAACTGACTTTAATAGGAGTGAAACTGACACTTTCAAGTCACTTTCACAGTATTGCCAACCCCAAATGTTCAAAAACCAATGAGTCAGGGTCACCAAAAATCATGAGATTATGTAAAAATAATAGATTTGCTGGTCTTTTTATTTGCCTTCTGCTTTTTGAGCCTTTAGGGTACCCTGGGGTCACATTTTGAAGCTTTTGCCACAGCCACGAGGTCTAGAAACATACTTTTTCTTTAAGAATGAAGGCTGAAATCATCACATATCACTTGACTCCAGGAGCTGGGGCTTTAAGGAAAACAATAATTATGAGAGTTTGCAACACTTCTTTCCCTTCTGTTTAAAGGCAAGTAACTTTCCAGAAGGCTTTTAAACACAACCCAGCGGTGACTGAGTTGCGGTTCTCACAGGAGAATATTTAAAACCAAACACCAGGAAAATTCCACATTTTAAAGTTGAGAAAAAAATTGAGTCTTCTGAGGTATATCAGGGCCACTGCAGGCAGGAAAAGAAAATAAACAGGCACAGGAGCTCTGGGCAGCTCTTCTTCTTGTAAACTGTTGGAGGGTCAAATCTTCCACTCCTTAATCAGGTAAAACTTCTATTGCCATCAGCGCCTCCACTCATAGATATTAACATGTGCTCAAATATCTCAGCCATCATATTCAGGGCTACACATTTTATACATGTTGGCTCAGGGACTATATTTTCTGGCATATTCTGAACAGTGCTGAGCACATAGATGGTGCCCAGTGAATAATACGAACCATGACAATAAATGTTGACTTTACGGACTCCGTGGATGCAATTTCTGCCCTTTTTTCTGGAATTGGCCTGAATACAGCTGATGCCCTAAGAATTTGAGGCATAAACACATCTCATACTCATACGACACTTTCTCATTCCTTCCTTTTCTCAAACTCAGAACAAAAAATGACAAAACAAAATGGTTTTCAGTTAAAATATAAAATTTCACAGCAGCCATTACTCTACAGTCCAGCATGGGGCAGAACCTGCCACCTGTTGGGAGTTAAATGATCTCCTCTCATCTGACACTCATCCTCTCTCTTTTTTCATCCTTCCTGACCTCTGTTCTGCTTTTCATGCTGTCAACCATGACATCCTTCCCAATCGCCTGGGACCGTTTGCTGGAGTCTCAGAAAACTGGCCTTCTTGGTTTTGCTCCCATCTATCAGTGTTCTTTTTTTTCCCCCCCAGCATTCAGCAGACAGAGCGGCTGGTCCAGTGGCTAGGTCTGAAGGACCTGGGTTCTATTCCCCCATGGGCTTCCTATATGGCCTCAGCCCAGTGCCTTAGCAACAGAGTTTCAAAGCTTTTAGGCACCCAGAGATGCAGCTAGGCATCTAGTGAAGCTTACAAAGCACCTAACCTTCTAAGCACTTGTTAGGATATAGATATTCAGGCCTGTCGGTAAAGGCCTGTACTCGAAGAATTTAGGTGTATTCTTATCACTTGGCTAGTTATAGAGGTATAAAAGAAAGAATCAAAATCACTGTCTGCCAGTGTAAGGGCCTTCTCTTACTGTGACAGTCTGAGGCCCTGTGCTTAGGCTAAGGCCTTTGGCTAAGCAGCAGAGGCAGCCATAAGCTGGGAAGCGACCGGTCACATCCTCACATTCCAAACTAGTCACATTGAAATAAGGTGCTATTGGGCTGTTAGGAATACAATCCTGTCCTGATAGTGCCTATCACCTCCAGAGAAAGGGAAGTGCCTAGAAAATCGTAAAAGGAAACTTAGTTTGATAGCATCCTGTCTGGCAAGAACTCACTTATCAATAGCTGGGATGTGAAATCCTCACTTCTGTATTGTTTTGTCATTACAGTTCCCACTTTGCTATTGTTTGTCTGTATAATCTCTGTCTGGTTCTGTGATTGTTCCTGTCTGCTGCTGTATAATTAATTTTGCTGGGTGTAAACTAATTAAGGTGGTGGGTTGGTTACATCATCATGTTACAATATGTTAGGCTTGGTTAGTTAAATTTCAGGAAAATGATTGGTTAAGGTATAGCTAAGCAGAACTCAAGTTTTACTACATAGTCTGCAGTCAATCAGGAAGTGAGGGGTGGGTGTGTGTGGGGGGGAGAAATGGGAACAGGGAATGGGGGTGGGGAAATTGGAATCACGTTTTGCTAAGGGCAGGAATGGGAACAGGAACACAGGTGTAAGGCTCTGTGATGTCAGAGCTGGGAAGGAGGATACTAAGGAAGGAAACTGGAATCATG